AGACTAGGCGGGTGTGGTAGTTCACGCCTATAATCCCAGCATTCTGGGGGGCCAAGAAGGGTGGATCACTTGAGGTCAGGAGTTTGAGACCAGCCTGGCCAACATGGGGAAACCCTGTCTCTACTAAAAACACAAAAAATTAGCTGGGCTTGGTGGCAGGTGCCTGTAATTCCAGCTACTAGGGAGGCTGAGGCAGGAGAATCGCTTGAACTCGGGAGGTGGAGGCTGCAGTGAGCCAAGATTGTGCCACTGCACTCCAGCCTGGGCAAAAAGAGCAAAACTCCATCTCAAAAGAAAAAAAAAAAAAAAAGAAAATCCCTAGAATTTTAAAATATCCTTTGGTGCTTCTAGAAATGTATTATAGAAATAAGCTCTGAGGCCGGGCGCGGTGGCTCAAGCCTGTAATCCCAGCACTTTGGGAGGCCGAGGCGGGTGGATCACGAGGTCGAGAGATTGAGACCATCCTGGTCAACATGGTGAAACCTCGTCTCTACTAAAAATACAAAAAATTAGCTGGGCATGGTGGCGCGTGCCTGTAATCCGAGCTACTCAGGAAGCTGAGGGAGGAGAATTGCCTGAACCCAGGAGGCGGAGGTTGCGGTGAGCCGAGATAGCGCCATTGCACTCCAGCCTGGGTAACAAGAGCGAAACTCCGTCTCAAAAAAAAAAAAAAAAAAAAAAAAAGAAATAAGAAATAAGCTCTGAGAAGCAGGCATACACAGTGAACATTATTATAGCACTATGTACAGTCACCCACACTAACAAATGAAAGTATCACAAACCATACATTCTACTAGAGAACTGATTAAGAATAAACTTGGCTAGGCGCGGTGGCTCAAGCCTGTAATCCCAGCACTTTGGGAGGCCGAGGCGGGTGGATCACGAGGTCAAGGGATCGAGACCATCCTGGTCAACATGGAGAAACCCCGTCTCTACTAAAAATACTAAAAATTAGCTGGACATGGTGGCGTGTACCTGTAATCCCAGCTACTCAGGAGGCTGAGGCAGGAGAATTGCCTGAACCCAGGAGGCGGAGGTTGCGGTGAGCCGAGATAGCGCCATTGCACTCCAGCCTGGGTAACAAGAGTGAAACTCCGTCTCAAAAAAAAAAAAAAAAAAAAAAGAAATAAGAAATAAGCTCTGAGAAGCAGGCATACACAGTGAACATTATTATAGCACTATGTACAGTCACCCACACTAACAAATGAAAGTATCACAAACCATACATTCTACTAGAGAACTGATTAAGAATAAACTTGGCTAGGCGCGGTGGCTCAAGCCTGTAATCCCAGCACTTTGGGAGGCCGAGGCGGGTGGATCACGAGGTCAAGGGATCGAGACCATCCTGGTCAACATGGAGAAACCCCGTCTCTACTAAAAATACTAAAAATTAGCTGGACATGGTGGCGTGTACCTGTAATCCCAGCTACTCAGGAGGCTGAGGCAGGAGAATTGCCTGAACCCAGGAGGCGGAGGTTGCGGTGAACCGAGATCGCGCCATTGCACTCCAGCCTGAGCAACAAAAGCGAAACTCCGTCTCAAAAAAAAAAAAAAAAAAAAAAAAAAGAATAAACTATGATCTGCCCATTAAATAGCATATTAAAATAGCTATTTAAAAAGACAGTGCAGTTTGTACATGCTGATACTGAAAGAGCTCCTAAATATAGTATCACTAAATGAACAAACTGTAATAAGTTGCAGACACTTACGGAAGGTATGTTCACATTTTTAAAAAGGCAGTATGTATGTGAATGCCTGAAGGTGGGTACCATCACTCACACCTATAATCCTGGCAACTTGGGAGGCCAAGGCAGGAGGATAACTTGAGTCCAAGAGCTTGAGACCAGCTTGGGCAACACAGTGAGACCCCCATCTCTAAAACGCGCGCGCGCGCACACACACACACACACACACACACACACACACACACGTACACAAATCAATACATCAATTCCTGATAATATGTAACAAGAAAAGAACATCCAAGAAGTGGAAACTATGGTTGTGTCTGAGGCGTTAGAATTAGGATTGGGGGAGAGAGGATTTTCTTATTTCTCCCATTTTCTTCTAGCCTCCTTTGGATTTAAATACATACATATATATACACACATACATATGGACACCTACACATATACACACACACATATATATGGCTAGGTACAGTGGCTCACGTCTGTAATCCCAGCACTTTGGAAGGTTGAGGTGGGTGGATCAAGCGGTGAGGAGATTGTAACCATCCTGGCCAACACGGTGAAACCTCATCTCAACTAAAAATACAAAATATTAGCTGGGCGTGGTGGCACATGCCTGTAGTCCCAGCTACGCGGGAGGCCAAGGCAGGAGAATCACTTGAACCCAGGAGGTGGAGATTGCAGTGAGCCAAGATCACACCACTGCACTCCAGCTTGGGTGACAGAGCAAGAAAAAAGAAAAAAAAGAAAAAAGAGAAGAGAAGAGAAGGAAGAAAGGAAGGGAAGAAAGGAAGGAAGGGAGACAGAAGAGGGGTGTTGAAATTCCTCCCTGACTAATCCACTGAATATGTGAATATATTTAATAATAATAATAATAACTATTATTATTATTATTATCTTTGAGACACAGTCTCACTCCCAGGCTGGAATGCAGTGGCTCGATCTCTGCTCACTACAGCCTCCGTCTCCTGGATTCAAGTGATTCTCTGGCCTCACCTCCCCCGAGTAGCTGATATTACAGGCACCCGCCACCACACTTAGCTAAGTTTTTGTATTTTTAGTAGAGACGGGGTTTCACCATGTTGACCAGGCTGGTCTTGAATTCCTGACCTTAAGTGATCCACCTGCTTTGGCCTCTCAAAGTGCTGAGATTACAGGCGTGAGCCACCACAACTGGCTCTCTTTTATTTTCAATATGGCAAAATACATGTAACACTAAACTTACTACCTTAACCATTTTTAATTGTACAATTGTAAATTTTATGCAATTTTTAAGTCATTAAAACCTTAATTTAAATACTCACATAGGTTTGTGGCTACCATATTGGACAGGGTCAATTTCCAATTTCTTTTCCTAAGTTAGTGAGTCACCATCACCTTTTTTTTTTTTTTTTTTTTTTTTTTTACAGAGTCGTGCTCTGTCACCCAGGCTGGAGTGCAGTGGTGCGATTTGAGCTCACTGCAACCTCCACCTGCTGGGTTCAAGCGATTCTTCTGCCTCAGCTTCCCAAGTACCTGGGACTACAGGCACATGCCACCATGCCCGGCTAATTTTTGTATTTTTAGTAGAGACAGGGTTTCACCATGTTGGTCAGGCTGGTCTGGAACTCTTGACCTCATGACCCACCTGCCTCAGCCTCCCAAAGTGCTGGGATTACAGGCGTGAGCCACCATGCCTGACCCAATTCCTCACTCTTTTATCAACTGGACTTTGAGACTTAGAAATAATGATTTTGGTTTTGCTGCTGTATTTCATCAAGGGGTATAAGATTTGATTAAATTATGTTTTGGGGGCTGGGGGCGGTGGTTCACACCTGTAATCCCAGCACTCTGGGAGGCCAAGGTGGGTGGATCACTGAGAACAGGAGTTTGAGGCCAGTCTGATCAACATGGTAAAACCCTGTCTCTGCTAAAAATAAAAAAAAAAATTAGCCAGGCATAGTGGTGGGCGCCTGTACTCCCAGCTACTCGGGAGGCTGAGGCAGGAGAATGGCTTGAATCCAGGAGGCAGAGATTGCAGGGAGCCGAGGGCAACAAGAGTGAAACTCCATCTCCCCCCCACCAAAAAAAAAGAAGGCCCTAGAAACAATGGAACACTCCTTGTCCTTTTCTCTTGGCACAGCAGAAGATTCTGTCACTACATCTTTATTTACTGAGCACCTATTGTGTGCTGCCCCTGGCACTGTTTTGTCTTGTTTTGTTCTGAGACGGGGTCTTGCTCTGCAGCCTGGCTGAAGTGCCATGGCACCATCACAGCTCACTGCACTGGGCTCAAACAATTCCCTCACCTCAGCCCCAACCCTAGCTGGAGTTACAGTTGTGCACCACCATGTCTGACGCATTTTTAAATTTTTTTTTGTAGAGATGGGGTCTTGCTACATTGCCCAGCCTGGCCTTGAACTCCCGGTCTCAAGTGATGCTCCTGCCTTGGCTTCCCAAAGTGCTCGGATTGTAGGCACGAGCCACTGTGCCTAGTACCAGGCATTGTTAGCACTGACAAAACACAACAAGAAGAGGGAGGCCGCTGTAAACACATGAAGACAGGCAGCGTAAGAGAATGTCACCAGGGCGGGAATAACATCCATGCATCCTCCAGAGCCCAGCTCAAGAACCCACTCCCAGATTCCCTGCCTGGATCGGATCCTGTGATCAAGACCTCAACACACCTTGGGTCTCTCTTCAGAATTATACGCTTGCATTTGTTTGTGTGATTCTAGGCCTCCCTTATTTTCTTGAACAGACATTGTCTGGTTTTGGTCATCTTTATGTCTTCAGCATCCAGCACAATGCCTGGCATTAGGGTCATAGCTCCACAAAAATGTCATAAATGCCCACTGGGGGTGGTGGCTCATGCCTTAATCTCAGCACTTTGGGAGGCTGAGGCAGGCGGATCACCTGAGGTCAGGAGTTCAAGACCAGCCTGACCAACGTGGAGAAACCCCCAATTCTACTAAAAATACAAAATTAGCCTGGCGTGATGGTGCATGCCTGTAATCCCAGCTACTCCGGAGGCTGAGGCAGGAGAAACACTAGAACCTGGAAGGCAGAGGTTGTGGTGAGCTGAGATCACGTCACTGCACTCCAGCCTGGGCAACAAGAGCAAAACTCTGTCTCAGGAAAAAAAAAAAAAAAAAGTCATGAGCACACGCAGAAGTGCATGCATGCATGAATAAATGATGATGTGTGCAAAGAGAAGCGCCATCTCCCCGTCCTGGAAGCAGCTTCCTATCAGGGTGGGGGTGGGGTACGGAGGCAGGGACAGCCAGTGATGTCACAAGAGGTGGCTGGAATGGAAGGTTCTAGAAGGCTGAATGGGGTAGAAGGTCTGTTGTGGAGGGAAACCACCCATCCTTCTGCCTCCCACCACTACCATCACCCTAGCTGGACCAAAAGGGTGACGGGGGCTGGGAAGGAGCAGCTCATGTTCGGGTTTCCAGGAGGGGCTACCAGTTTATTGCCTTTGCAGGAAGAAGAAAACATCTGAGTGACCAGATGTCTCAGCTCCCGGTGCCTTGCCAGATGGCCAGAGCCACACCTCTCAAAGAGTGACAGGTGCCAGTGGTATGGGAGAAGGACACGCATTTTCTTTTCTTTTCCTTTTTTTTTGAGATGGAGTTTTGCTCTTGTTACCCAGGCTGGAGTGCAATGGCACGATCTCGGCTCACCACAACCTCCGCCTCCTGGGTTCAGGCAATTCTCCTGCCTCAGCCTCCTGAGTAGCTGGGATTACAGGCACGTGCCACCATGCCCAGCTAATTTTTTGTATTTTTAGTAGAGACGGGGTTTCACCATGTTGACCAGGATGGTCTCGATCTCTTGACCTCATGATCCACCCGCCTCAGCCTCCCAAAGTGCTGGGATTACAGGCTTGAGCCACCGCACCCGGCTCCTTTTTTTTTTTTTTTGAGACAGGGTCTCACTCTGTTGCCCAGGCTGTAGTGCAGTGGCACGATCTGAGCTCACTGCAACCTCCGCCTCCCGGGTTCAAACAGCTCCTTTGCCGGTCCTGTTAAACTCCCTGCTTTTTTGCCTTGCAGTCCTGTGAAACATGGTTTCTGCAGACCTGAAATAACTGGAACCCCAAAGACTCAAGAAGCAGCTAACAATCTTGAAGTAGACATGAACAAAACACAAGGTATATGGCACTAAGCAGTGAGTGGGAAAGCGGGAGGGGCACACTGATTCCACTAAGACTCTTTGCAGAGCAGTCTGGATCTAAAAACATGTAGCCATTCCTTGCCTGACCCTGCTGACCCCCACCCCATTTTTTTTTCTTTTTTTGAGACAGGGTCTTGTTCCGTCGCCCAGGCTGGAGTGCAGTGGTGCAATCATAGCTCACTTTAGCCTCGACCTCCCAGGCTCAGGTGATCCTCTTGCCTCAGCCCTCCAAGTAGCTAGGACTACAGGTGCACACCACCATGCCCAGCTCTGTATTTTTTCGTAGAGACAGAGTTTCGCTATGTTCCCCAGGCTGGTCTTGAACTCCTGGGCTCAAGCAATCCTCTCACCTTGGCCTCCCAAAGTGCTGGAATTACAGGTGTGGGCCACCGTGACCAGCCTGGGCACTATTTTCTATTCTTGATAGGGTGTTGAGGAAGCAGGGCAAGTGGTTCACTTAATTCAGAGCTTTGCCTACTGGTCATGTGACACTGAGCAGGTTACCTGCTCTTTGGAGACCTCATTTGCATATCTGAATGATAGGGGTGTTGACAATAGCACATCCCTGTCAGGATGGTGAGCCGGAGTAGATAGAGTACCCAGGAACCAACCCTGTAGATACGGTGCGGATATGATCATAGTGACCTGTTAACATTAGGTTGCAATCATTTTACTGTCAGAGCTAAATTCAAGGGACATCATGACATCATAGACAGCTTTGATACTGGTGGGCTGGGGGAGGTCCCCAAATGCCGGTGGGACCTCCAACCCAGCTGAAGTCCAGGCTCTTGACACCACTGAGAGTGAGTTCAAGAAATGAGTCAGAAAATAGTGAAAGTACTGAGGTTTATGGCAAATAAAATACTTCCTTTTTTTTTTTTGAAATGAAGTTTTACTCTTGTTGCCCAGGCTGGAGTGCAATGGCTCAATCTTGGCTCACTGCAACCTCAGCCTCCCGGGTTCAAATGATTCTCCTGCCTCAGCCTCTCAAGTAGCTGGGATTTCAGGCAGGTGCCACCATGCCCAGCTAATTTTGTATTTTTAGTAGAGACTGGGTTTCTCCATGTTGGTCAGGCTGGTCTCGAACTCCTGACCTCAGGTGATATGCCCACCTTAGCCTCCCAAAGTGCTCAGATTAAGGTATGAGACACCGCCCCCAGTGGGCATTTATGACATTTCTGTGGAGCCATGACCCTAATGCCAGGCATTGTGCTGGATGCTGAAGACATAAAGATGACCAAAACCAGACGATGTCTGTTCAAGAAAAAAACGGAGGCCTAGAATCACACAAACAAATGCAAGCGTATAATTCTGAAGAGAGACCCAAGGTGTGTTGAGGTCTTGATCACAGGATCCAATCCAGGCAGGGAGTCTGGGAGTGGGTTCTTGAGCTGGGCTCTGGAGGATGCATGGATGTTATTCCCGCCCTGGTGACATTCTCTTCCGCTTAAGAACCTCAATGGCTTAACACAACACAAGCTTGCTCCTTACTCATGTTGTGCGGCTACCATGGGGACAGAGGGGGCTACTTCTTGACATCTGCTCCACCATTTTTATGACAGGACCATGGAGGATGGTGAATATACACTGGCTGTCACATCTTCTCCCATGAATGACACACATTCACTTCTTACGTTTCATTGGCCAAAGCATATCTAGTCCACTTCCTATACATTTTACCTTTAAAACAATCTCTGTAAATAATATTAAATATGTGACTCTAGTTAATGATTTACCTGCAAGGGTGTTTAAGGGTAAAATGAGTGAATAGCTTTGGCTCACTTGGAAATGCATCAAAAAATCAGATGGGGCCGGGCGTGATGGCTTACGCCTGTAATCCCAACACTTTGGGAGGCTGAGGCAAGTGGATCACTTGAGGTCAGGAGTTTGAGACCAGCCTGGGCTACATGGTGAAACCCTGTCTCTACTAAAACTACAAAAATCAGCTGGATGTGGTGGTGGGTGCCTGTAGTCCCAGCTACTCGGGAGGTTGAGGCAGAAGAATGGCTTGAACCTGGGAGGTGTAGGTTGCAGGAAGCCAAGATCACACCACTGCACTCCAGCCTGGGCAACAGAGTGAGACTTCATCTCAAATAATAATAATAATAATAATTATTATTATTATTATTATAAGATGGGGCTGGGTGTGGTGGCTCATGCCTGTAATCCCAGTACTTTGAGAAACTGAGGCAGGAGGATTGTTTGAGCCAAGGAGTTTGAGATCAGCCTCGGAAACACAGTAAAACCCCATCTCAACAAAACATTAAAAATAAATTAGCCAGGCATGGTGCTCTCGACTATTTGGGAGGCTGAGGTGGGAGGATGGCTTGAGCCTAGGAGGTCAAAGTTGCAACGAGCTATGATTGTGCCACTGCACTCCAGCCTGCTGACAGACCAACACTGTATTGAAAGGAAAAAGGAAGGAAGGAGGGAGGGAAGGAGGGAAGGAAGGAAGGAAGGAAAGAAGGAAAGAAGGAAGGAAGGAAGGAAGGAAGGAAGGAAGGAAGGAAGGAAGGAAGGAAGATGAACATAAAGATAGCAGGATAGATGTGTGATAAAAGAAACATAGTAAAATGCTTGCAGTTGTAGAATTTAGGTGTTGGGTAAGAGAGTGTTTGGTATACAATCCATTTTGACTTATTAAATATTTGCAGAGGGAATGAAAAAATAAAGAGAAAGGAAGTTTGACTTGCCACTGTTCACTACGTAACTTCACCCTAAAAGGGGATTCATTCAACTCTCAGCACCTTAGGTCCAAAAAGACACCAGTAACTCCCACCTCTCCAAAGTTATTAAAGAAATAAAAACATTTGCCACCCAACTCTGGTGATTGTTTGCAGTAGCTCCCAAGCTGTGGACTACCTGCCAGGATGGAGAAGTCCTTCTGAGGCTGTCCAAACACGGACCAGGCCATGAGACCCCGATGACCATCCCTGAATTTTTTCAAGAGTCAGTCAACCGATTTGGAACTTATCCAGCCCTCGCATTCAAGAACAGTGAAAAATGGGAAATTCTGAATTTCAACCAGTACTACAAGGCTTGTTGGAAGGCTGCGAAATCTTTGATCAAAGTAAGATTCATTCATTCATTCTCCTTTGTTCAACCATTCATCCTGAATAGGTAATACACACACATACATGTGGTACAAAATTCACAGGGCACCAAAAGATCTAAAGGTTAACCAGTGAAACATTTCCCTCTGATCCATGAGCCTCAGCCACCCAGTTCCTCTCCATGGAAACAGCCACCATTGACAATGTTTTGTGTGTTTTTTGGGAAATAAATTATGTATATATAAAAAATATGATTTTTATATATGCAAATTTTTACACACCCATGGTTCTCCATCTTTCATTTGTCCCTTAACATACTATCTCTATGTATTAGTTAGTTACTGCTGCATAACAAATGATCCCAAAACACAGTGACTTGAAATGACAAACATTTATCAACTCACAGTTTCTGTGGGTTGAGAATTTAGGAGCTACTTTGAAATTGGGTGGTTCCGGCTCTGGAGCCAGAATCTCTTATGAGGTTGCAGCCAAGCTATCAGATCTCTCATGAGGTTGCAGCCAAGCTATCAGCTGGGGCTATCTCATCTGAAGGCTCAACTGGGGCTGGAGGCTTTACTTCCAAGCTTACTTACCTAGATGGTTGGTTATTGGCAGGAAGTCTCAGTTCCTCATTCCATGGCCTTCACAGAATTGCTTCAGTGTCCTCACAGCACAGTTACCAGTCCCCCCTAGAATAAATGGTGCAAAAGAAAGAGGGAACAAGGCTGGGGACAGTGGCTCATTTCTATAATCCTAGTGCTTTGGGAGACTGAGGCAGGAGGATCACTGAGCCCAGGAGTTCAAGACCAGCCTGGGCAACATAGTGAGACCCCAGTCTCTACAAAAAGTGCAAAAATTAACCAGGCATGGTGGCACATGCCTGTAGTCTCAGCTATCAGGAGGGTGAGGTGGGAGGATCACTTGAGCCTGGGGAGGTCAAGGCTGTAGTGACAGGTGATTGCACCACTGCACTCCAGCCTGGACAACAGAGTGAGACCATGTCTTAAAGTAAAAAAAGAGAACCATGTGCTTGGGCTGGGTTTCTTTTTGGTGGCCCCACCCTCATGCCACGTCGCTGTATAGCTAGTTCATCTCTCCTGAGAGATTGTCTCCATTAGCCATGTTCTTAGTTCCATGCAGTTAAAGGTCCCCCTCCTCCCCTAAACCTTGGAGACCTGGCTGAGGACGGTGGCTCATGCCTATAATCTCAGCACTTTGAGAGGCCAAGGTGGGTGGATCACCTGAGGTCAGGAGTTCCAGGCCAGCCTGGACTACATGGTGAAACCCCATCGATACTAAAAATACAAAAATTTGGCCGGGTGTGGTGGCTCATACCTGTAATCCCAGCACTTTGAGAGGCTGAGGTGGGTGGATCACCCGAGGTCAGGAGTTCCCCACCAGCCTGGCCAACATGGCAAAACCCTGTCTCTACTAAAAAATACAAAAATATAGCTAGGTGTAGGGGTGGGTACCTGTAACCCCAGCTACTTGGGAAGCTGAGGCAGGGAGAATCGCTTGAACCCGGGAGGTAGAGGTTGCAGTGAGCTCAGATTGAGCACTCCAGCCTGGGTGACAGAGCTAGACTCTCTCAAAACAAAGAAACAAACAAAAAATTAGCTAGGTGTGGCGGCACACGCCTGTAATCCCAGCTACTCCGAAGGCTGAGGCAGGAGAGTCACTTGAACCGGGGAGGCGGAGGTTACAGTGAGCTGAGATTACACTCCAGCCTGGGTGAGACTCCATCTCAAAACAAACAAGCAAAAATACCTTGGAGACCCAAGCAGAAATTAATCAGTCTAACTATGCATTAATAAAAATGCACTCTGTCCATGGTGAAGACAGTCTTTTGGTCACTGAAATACTTTGCATCTCATTCTGAAGCACCAGCAGGCAGACCTTCCAAATGGTCCCTTTCCCCCAAGAACAGCAGATCATTGCCAGTCTTGATTCTGTAGGACTAAAACAGCCAACAACGTTGGCTGGCGGCACCCAGAACGAAAGCGAGTTTTCCCCTAAAGATGGTCACTTTTGTTTCTGAGTTTCCTGGTTCATTCTCAACCACATTCAGGACAAGCCTGCACCTTTACATGGGCAACTTTTCTTCTTTTTGAGACAGCATCTCGCTCTGCCGCCCAGGCTGGAATGCACTGGTGCCATCTCGTCTCACTGCAACCTCTGCCTCTCGGGTTCAAGAGATTCTCCTGCCTCAGCCTCCTGAGTAGCTGGGATTACAGGTGCCTGCCACGACGCCTGGCTAATAGATGGGGTTTTACCATGTTGCCCAAGCTGGTCTAGAACTCCTGACCTCAGGTGATCTGCCCGCCTTGGCCTCCCAAAGTGCTGGGATTACGGGCATGAGTCACTGCCCCCAACCTACCTGTGCAACTTATCATGACTATCTCATATCACTCCTTGAGTACTTTCATTAAAAATAAAAATAAATTCACACCCTTCAAGATAGTTATGATTTAAAAAATAGCAAAACACAGCACGCGTTGGGGAGGATATGGAAAAGCTGGAATCCTTAAGCAATGCTGGTGAGAATGTAAAACGGTGCTGCCACCATGGAAAACAGTCTAGCAGTTTCTTTTCTTTTCTTTTTTATTTTTTTGAGACGGACTTTTGCTCTTGTTACCCAGGCTGGAGTGCAATGGCGCGATCTCGGCTCACCACAACCTCCGCCTCCTGGGTTCAGGCAATTCTCCTGCCTCAGCCTCCTGAGTAGCTGGGATTACAGGCACGTGCCACCATGCCCAGCTATTTTTTTTTATTTTTAGTAGAGACAGGGTTTCACCATGTTGACCAGGATGGTCTCGATCTCTTGACCTTGTGATCCACCCGCCTCAGCCTCCCAAAGTGCTGGGATTACAGGCGTAGCCACTGCGCCCGACCGAGCAGTTTCTTAAAACAAAATGTAAACAGAGAATTACTGTATGATTCAGCAATCCTGCTTCTGGGTTTTAACAACAACAACAAAATATGAAAGCCAGGGACATGAAGAGTTATTTGTAGACTCAGGTTCATAGCAGCGTTATTCACGAGAGCCAGAGGGTGGGAGCAACACGTGTATCCGTCAGTGGAAGAATGGATGAACACCATGTAGTCCACCCATAGGAGGGAAACTGATTGAGCCACAAAAAGGAAGGAAATTCTGACACACGCTACAACATGGATGAACCCGAGGACATCACACTCACTGAAGTAAGCCAGACACAAAAGGACAAATCCTGTGTGATTTCACTCCTGGGGGGTCCTTAGAGTCATTAGATTCACAGAGACAGAAAGTCGAATGGGAGGTGCCAGGGGCTGGTGAAGAGGATAGGAAGTGTTGTTTTTTTTTTTTTTCCGAGACAGAGCCTTGCTCTGTCACCCAGGCTGGCGTGCAGTGGTGCAGTCTTGGCTCACTGCAACCTCTGCCTCCCCAGTTCAAGCGATTCTTCTGCTTCAGCTTCCTGAGTAGCTGAGGCTACAGGCACGTGCCACCATGCCCAGCTAATTTTTTGTATTTTTAGTAGAGACGGGGGTTGCCATGTTAGCCAAGATGGTCTCGATCTCGTGACCTTGTGATCCACCCACCTCGGCCTCCCAAAGTGCTGGAATGACAGGCGTGACCCACTTCACCTGGCTGGGAGTGAGTGTTTTTTACAAACAGAGTTTCAGTTCAGGAAGAGGAGGAAGCTCTGGAGATGAATGGTGGAGATGCTTGCACAACCATGTGAATGTGCTTAGTGTCACTGAACTGCACTCTTAAACATGGTGAAAACGGGCTTGGTGTGGTGGATTATAGGCGTAAGCACTTTGGGAGGTCAAGGTGGGAGGATTGCTTGAGGTCAAGAGTTCGAGACCAGCCTGGTGAAATGCCGTCTCTACTAAAAATACAAAAATTAGCCGGGCATGGTGGTGGGTGCCCGTAATCCTAACTACTCAGGAGGCTGAGGCAGAAGAATCACTTCAACCTGGGAGGTGGAGGTTGCAGTGAGCCGAGTTCAAGCCATTGCACTCCAGCCTGGGCGACAGAGCAAGTCTCTGTCTCAAAAGAAAAAAAAAAAAAAAAGGCGAAAATGGTAAATTCCATGTTATATGTATTTTACCACAATAAATAAAAATAATGCAAAACATAAAAATAAAAATAATACGGGCCGGGCACAGTGGCTCATGCCTATAATCCTAGCACTTTGGGAGGCCGAGGCGGGTGAATCATGAGGTCAAGAGATCGAGACTATCCTGGTCAACAAGGTGAAACCCCGTCTCTACTAAAAATACAAAAAATTAGCTGGGTGTGGTGGCGCATGCCTGTGGTCCCAGCCACTCAGGAGGCCGAGGCAGGAGAATTGCTTGAACCCAGGAGGCGGAGGTTGCGGTGAGCCGAGATCGCGCCATTGCACTCCAGTCTGGGTAACAACAGTGAAACTCCGTCTCAAAATAATAATAATAAAAAAAAAAATTAAAAAAAATAAAAATAAAAATAATACATGTTGTGTTATGTAGAGGAAGGTAAACAAACCTCCCATAGTCACAAAAATTAAAAATATTACACCCCAGAGTTTAGGCTCAACACTGTCTCCCACCCTGTGTGGCTATTTTTTAGTTGAGTTTTGAAACAGGGTCTCTCTCTGTTGCCCAGAATGGAATGCAGTGGTGCAATCATAGCTCACTGCAGCCTCGAACTCTAGGGCTCAAGAGCTCCTCCCGCCCCTGACTCCCAAGTATCCAGGACGACAGGTGGGCACCACCATGCCCTGCAAACTTTTCTACTTCTTTGTACAGACAGGGGGGTCTCTCTTTGCTGTCCAGACTGGTGTTGAACTTCTGGCCTCAAGCAATTCTCCCACCTCAACCTCCCCAAGTACTGGGATTACAGGCATGAGCCACTGCGCCCGGCCTCCATGTGACTACATTTGACTCTATCGTTACATGTCCTCATGATCTGAGTTCTCCGTGTTTATGTTTTGTTTTTCTATTTGTTTTTTCCTTCTCAGCTGGGCTTGGAGCGTTTCCATGGAGTTGGCATCCTGGGGTTTAACTCTGTGGAGTGGTTTATCACTGCTCTCGGCACCATCCTAGCTGGGTAAGATCATTGGCTTGGTTCATGGGTGAGGGTTAAGGAGCTGCTACTCTGGGCCTGGGACCCCTGGGCTTGTTCGGTGTGAGATGCCAACAGGAATTTTGGATGGGTGCCTTGGTTAGCAGGCAGGATAGACACACAAACAAATCATTCTGATCACGGGTCATACGCAATAAAACCCATCAGACCAGCAGTCTCAGACTTCTCTTCTCGATTTTCTTTCTTTCTTTTTATTTTATTATACTTTAAGTTCTGGGGCACATGTGCAGATCATGCAGGTTTGTTACGTAGGTATACAGGTGCCGTGGTGGTGGTTTGCTGCATCCATTACCCTGTCATCTACATTAGGTACTTCTCCTAATGCTATCCCTCCACCCCCTGCTATTCCTCCACTAGCCCCCACTCCCTAGTCCCCGGTGTGTGATTTTCCCCTCCCTGTGTCTGTGTTCTCATTGTTCAACACCCACTTACAAGTGAGAACATGCAGTGCTTGGTTTTCTGTTCTTGTGTCAGTTTGCTAAGAATGACGGTTTCCAGTTTCATCCATGTCCCTGCACATGAACTCATCCTTTTTATTTGGCTGCAAGACCTCTTGATTTTCTGCAGGTGAATAACTTCTCGCAGACAAAATAATAATCACAGATAGCATTTAGAGGTTTTTGATTATGTGCCGAAGCGCTGTGCTCCATGCATACGATCCCGTAAAACCTCAGGACAGCAGTGTGAAGTGGGTCCTATCATCCCCGATTTACAGATGAGGAAACTGAAACTCACAGAGCCAGTAGGCAGCAGGGCCAGCACCCTGCTCTAAAAATAAAAATTTTTTTTAAATTGGTTTTTTTTTTTTGAGACGGAGTTTCGCTCTTGTTACCCAGGCTGGAGTGCAATGGCGCGATCTCGGCTCACCGCAACCTCCGCCTCCTGGGTTCAGGCAATTCTCCTGTCTCAGCCTCCTGAGTAGCTGGGATTATAGGCATGCACCAACATGCCCAGCTAATTTTTTGTATTTTTTTTAGTAGAGACGGGGTTTCACCATGTTGACCAGGATGGTCTCGATCTCTTGACTTCATGATCCACCCACCTCAGCCTCCCAAAGTGCTTCGGATTACAGGCTTGAGCCACCGCGCCCGGCCTAAAAATTGTTTTTTAAACCCATTAAACAGCTGGGTATGGTGGCTCACCCCTGTAATCCCAGCACTTTGGGAGGCTGAGGTGGGGCAAATCACCTGAGGTCAGGAGTTGGAGCCAGCCTGGCCAACAGGGCAAAAACCCCGATCTCTACTAAAAAAAATACAAAAATTAGCTGGGTGTGGTAGCAGGTGCCTGTAATCCTTGCTACTTGGGGGGCTGAGGTAGGAGAATTGCTTGAACCCAGGAGGTGGAGATGGCAGTGAGCCGAGATCATGCCACTGCACTCCAGCCTGGGCAACAGAGAAAGACTCTGTCTCAGAAACAACAACAACCCCAAAACCTAGCTCTTAAACATACACATGCACACTCATGCACACGCACACACACATGCACAAACGCGCGCGCGCACACACACACACACACACACGCATACACAAATAAAAGAGGGAATTCCTCTAGTTATATTACCTGGGAGTGAGGGAGGGGTTGGGATAACCCGACATTAACCTCCCACGGCATTCACTATGTTTTGTTCACCTCTGGGGTCTGGTTTACCAGATTACTCAGTCTTTACATAAATGATGATAATCCAGTCCAGATGCTGTCTTACCAGTGGGGTTATTCTGTTTGTTTGCTTTGGAGTTTCTGTGAGACAGGGTCTCGCTCTGTCAACCAGGCTGTAGTGCAGTGGTGCAATCATTGCTCACTGCAGCCTTAAAGTTCTGTGCCCAAGCCATCCTCCCACCTCAGCCTCCAAAGTAACTGTGACTACAAGCACATGCCACCACACCCAACTAATTTTTCTTTTTGTACAGATGGGTCTTGCTATGTTGCCCAGGCTGTAATCATGAAAAAAAAAAAGGTAAAAATAAAATAATCATTTTTTTTCTTTCTTTTTTTAATTTTTTATTTTTTTTATTTTTATTTATTTATTTTTTTTTTGAGACGGAGTTTCGCTCTTGTTACCCAGGCTGGAGTGCAATGGCGTGATCTGGGCTCACCGCAACCTCCGCCTCCTGGGTTCAGGCAATTCTCCTGCCTCAGCCTCCTGAGTAGCTGGGACTATGGCACGCGCCACCATGCCCAGCTAATTTTTTGTATTTTTAGTAGAGACGGGGTTTCACCATGTTGACCAGGTTGGTCTCGATCTCTCGACCTTGTGATCCACCCACCTCGGCCTCCCAAAGTGCTGGGATTACAGGCTTGAGCCACCGCGCCCGGCCTAATTTTTTATTTTTTGATACGGAGTCTCACTCTGTCTCCAGGTGGAAGTGCAGTGGCACGATCTCGGCTCACTACAACCTACACCTCCCGGGTTCAAGTGATTTTCCTGCCGCAGATGTGCACCTCCACGCCTGGCTAACTTTTTGTATTTTAGTAGAGAGGAGGTTTCACTGTGTTGGCCAGGCTGATCTCGAGTTCCTGACCTCGTTATCCACCCGCCTCAGCCTCCCAAAGTGCTGGGATTATAGGCTTGAGCCACCGCGCCCAGCCTAAAATACTGATTTCTTTTTGAGCTGGTAATTCTACCTTTGGGAATTTTACTTAAAGAAACAAAAGCAATACATGAATATATTTTGGCTTATGCACAAAGATGCTTCTTAGAAGTGTTGTTGGTGATGGCAAAAAGTCGAGAATAACCTAAGTATCCCACAGCTGGGGATTAAACCATGAAATGCCTTCTGGATGGAATTCTGGGTAATATTTTGAAATGATGGCTCTGAAGAGCACATTTTAAACATTCTTTTTATGTCAGAGGTGACAAAGCAGGTATCAACATCTTTATACACTGTATGGTTACAACTGTATTTAAAATTTAAAATACCAACTATTAATATACCAATTATTGCTCGTCACTCTTACCATATGATATTGACTGCTCATCGTAGCCTTTTGAAGTGGGCACCATCATGATCCCCAATAATAATGATGGTGATGATAATCTGGGACCAATAGGGGTTAAGCAGCTTCCCCAGAATCATGCTGTGATTGGATAAAGACCCTGAGATCTGAGCTCAAGTTTGTTCAACTCAAGATTAATAATAATAATAACAACAACAGCAGCAGCAGCCACAGCCATGACAAAATTGAGGGGCCGGGTGTAGTGATTCACGCCTGTAATCCCAGCACTTTGAGAGGTTGAGGTGGGAGGATCACCTTAACCCAGAAGTTCAAGACCAGCCTGGGCAACACAGCAAGATTCTGTCTCCAAAATAAAAAAAGTTTTTGAAATTAGCCAGGTGTGGTGGTGTGTGCCTGTAGTTCCAACTACTTGGGAGGCAGAGGTGGGAGGATGACTTGAGCCCAACAAGTCGAGACTGCAGTGAACTATGATCACACTACTGCACTCCAGCCTGGGCAACAGAGTGAGACCCTATCTCTAAAAAAGAGAGAGAGAGAGAAAGAGAAAAAGAAAAAAAAAAAAAAAAGAAATTGAGGGTGGTGACTAGAAAGAAATATTATCATTAGTTAAATCTCATCATCGAGACCAAGAATACCCTAATATGTTATATTGTATTTTCCAAATTTTTATGAGCATATACTACCCCTGTCTTACAGTGAGTTGAAATATACATACATATATATATACACACATATATATATGTTTTTTTGAGACAGAGTCTCACTCTGTTGCCCAGGCTGCAGTGCAGTGGTGTGATCTCAGCTCACCACAACTTCCGCCTCCTGGGTTCAAGTGATTCTCCTGCCTTGAACTCCCAAGTAGCTGGGACTAGTGGCACGCACCACCATGGCCGGCTAAATTTAGTATTTTTGGTAGAGACGGGATTTCTTCATGTTGCCCAGGCTGGTCTCAAACTCCTCACCTCAGGTGATCCGCCTGCCTCGGCCTCCCAAAGTGCTGGGATTACAGGCGTGAGCCACTGCGCCTGGCCCATAATAAATTTTAATAAAGAGATATGTCCCCATTTTAGGACTGAATGGCAAGACAGTGTCATGCAGTGATTGGGTTCTGGTGTCACATTAGACCCAAGTTCAAATCTTGGGTCGTCTGCTATTTTGTGTTCTGTATGAATGAGCAGGAAAGCAACACAACTCCATGCCTCACAGAGCTGTTACGAAGATTCAGTAAGATGATGCTTCATAAACACTTAGCGCAGTGCTTAGCAAATAGTATGTGCTTAAAAAGGGTGATGAGAGTAACCATCTCAAATAATTTTAATGTGTCTCATTCTCTGCCATATGAAAAGCACAACTAGATCAACGGAGCAGGAAGCCCAGAAACAGTTCCATGCATACATGGTCACTGGCTTCCAACAAAGGCAACAGAGTAATCCAGTGGTGCTGGACCAAGTGGATATTTGTATGGAAAAATAGATCAGCCCTGATCCCTACCTCACATCATATCCAAAAATTAAATTGAGATGGATTACAGACCAAATCATACAAATTAAATTCTAAAGCTTCTAGAAAAAGGAAATCATGGAATGGTTTCACAGTACGTGGGTAGCCAAAGATTTCTTAGACAGGATACAGAGAGCAAAAGGCTTAAGAGAAAAGGTTGCCAAATAGGAATTTATTAGCATTAAACACTCTTGCTTATTAAAAGACACCAACAAGAGGAACAGTTGCTGAGTGTGGGTGGCTCAGGCCTGGAATCCCAGCACTTTGCCAAGTAGGGATGGGTGAATCACTGGAGGCCAGGAGTTCGAGACCAACCTGGGCAACATGGTGAAACCCCTTCTCTACAAAAAATACAAAAATCAGCCAGGTGTGGTGGTGCATGACTTTAATCCCAGCTACTCAGGAGGCTGAGGCAGGAGAACCGGTTGAGTCTAAGAGATGGAGGAGGCCGGCCGGGCGTAGTTGCTCAAGCCTGTAATCCCAGCACTTTGGGAGGCCGAGGCGGGTGGATCACGAGCTCAAGAGATCGAGACCATCCTGGTCAACATGGTGAAACCCCGTCTCTACTAAAAATACAAAAAATTAGCTGGGCATGGTGGCGTGTGCCTGTAATCCCAGCTACTCAGGAGGCTGAGGCAGGAGAATTGCCTGAACCCAGGAGGCGGAGGTTGCAGTGAGCCAAGATCGCGCCATTGCACTCCAGCCTGGGTAACAAGAGCGAAACTCCGTCTCAAAAAAAAAAAAAAGAGATGGAGGTTGCAGAGAGCTGAGATTGCGCCACTGCACTCTAGCCTGGGTGACAGAGCTAGATCCTGTAGAAAGAAAGAAGGAAAGAAAGAAAGAAAAAAAAAAGAAAGGAAGGAATGGAGAGAGAGAAACAAAGAAAGGGAGGGAGAGAGAGGGAGGGAGGGAGGAAGGGAAGGAGAGAGAAAGAAAAGAAAGAGAAAAGAGACAGGGAGAGAGAAAGGAAAGGCAAACTGCATACTTGGAGAAAATATTTGTAAAACTCGAATCTGATCAAGAACCGGTATCTAAGATATATAAAGAAATTCCAGCCAGGCCCGGTGGCTCATGCCTGTAATCCCAGCACTTTGGGAGGCTGAGGTGGGCAGATCACCTGAGGTCAGGAGTTCAAGACCAGCCTGACCAATATGGTGAAACCCCATCTTTAAAAATAATAATAATAAAAAGAAAAAGAAATTCTGTAACTCAGTAACATAAGACCAAAAAATAATAATAACAATTGAAAGGGGAAAAAGAAATGCCACAAAGGGAAGTAGCCAAAAGGCTCAATGTCATTAGCCACTGGGAAATGCAAATTAAAAGCACAAGACAATGCCACCTGCCGTGAATGATGGGAACTGGGGCTGAGTGAGGAGTTCAGATCCCAGGTCTAACACCTTCTTACTGTGTAATCTTGAATGAGTGACTTCACTGCGGGACCCTTGCTTTTCTCATCTGTAAAATGGGGTGTTGTAAGTGTTCTACGATCTGTTGTTAAAATGACATCATAGTAGCTGTCACTCTTATCATCATTGTCATTTTTGTTGTCTTCACGGTTGTTAAGTTAGGGAGAAAGGGAAGCTGGCACTGTGGCTGCAAACTTAAGAACTTGCCTACAGACCTTTCCTCTCTCTTGAACTTCCAGACCATTCTGCCTTTAAGGTATGTGTGGATGCACACACAAATGTGTTTTCTTTTCCCAGGGGCCTTTGTGTTGGTATTTATGCCACCAACTCTGCCGAGGCTTGTCAACATGCCATCACTGATGCCAAAGTGAACATCTTGCTGGTTGAGAATGATCAACAGTTACAGAAAATCCTTTCGGTAAACCCTTACCCAGCATTGTCTGCAAAAGCCAACCAGGGGGACCTCAGGGCTCTGGGCAGGTGTCTTTTTTTCCCAGGTAGATTCTAATGATAAGATAGGGCCATGCAACAGGTCAGCAAGAGTCCTCCATGACTTCATTAGTATATGTGATGAAGGTGATCTTTGGAGGAGCAGAGTGAAGTGGAGGAGTTTGATTTCCAATTCTTATTAACTTAGTTTAATACTCAGTCTCCTATAATTTTGAGACAGGGTCTCCCTCTGTTTCCCAGCCTGGAGTGCAATGTCATGATCATAGCTCACTGTAGCCTTCAACTCCTGGTCTCAACTGATCCTTCCACCTCAGCCCTCTCAGTAGCTGGGACTACGTAAGCATGTACCACCACATTGGGCTAACTTTTAAAACATGTTTTGCGCTGGGTGTGGTGGCTCATGCCTGTAATCCCAACACTTTTGGGAGGCCACAGCAGGCAGATCACCTGAGGTCAGGAGTTTGAGACTAGCCTGGCCAACTGAAACTCCATCTCTACCAAACCCACAAAATGGCTAGGTGTAGTGGCTCACACCTGTAATCTCAGCACTTTGGGAGGCCGATGTGGGCGGATCACAAGGTCAAGAGATCGAGACCATCCTGGCTAACACGGTGAAAACTCGACTCTACTAAAAATACAAAATTAGCTGTCATAGTGGCACACGCCTGTAATCCCAATTACTCAGGAGGCTGAGGCAGGAGAATGGCTTGAACCTGGGAGGCGGACGTTGCAGTGAGCCCACATTGTGCTGCTGCACTCCAGCCTGGGTGAAAGAGAAAGACAGTGTCTCAGGAAAAAAAAAAAAAAAGGTGGTGGGTGTGGGGGGTAGCGGGGAAGGCAGGGGCGGGCTGGAGTTACTGGAGAGAGCTTAGGATACCCAAACCAGCTTTAGTCTTTCCCAGCGCTGGGTTGACATGAGGCCCACAGGGAACTTTCTTTCAGATTCCACAGAGCAGTCTGGAGCCCCTAAAAGCGATCATCCAGTACAGACTGCCAGTGAAGAACAGCAACAATTTGTACTCTGTAAGTGTGGAGGTGCGCACTGGGTAAAGGGGTGGGCAGGGCCTTGCAAGAAAGTGGGCATGGCCTAAGGCAGTGGAAGGTGAGCAGAGGGAGGGGGTGGGACCTAGCAAGGGTGGGAATTCTCAAAGGAAGTAGGCGGGGACTCTGAAGAGAAGTAAAAGGTGAGGAAAGGAAGTGGGTGGGGCCTTGTGAGGGAAGCGAGTGTGACCTTTCAAAGGATGTGAAAGGTGAGCTGAGGGAGGGGGTGAGGCCTTACAAGGGAAGTGGGTGTGGCCTTTCAAAGAAAGTGGGAGGTGAGCAAAGAGGGGGCGGGGCCTGGCAACGGAAGTGGGTGGGGCTTTGGAAAGGGATGTGAGTGGGCCTTCCCAAATGCAGTAAGCTGGGCTTTGCAAAGGGAGTACAGCGGTGTGATGTCGGCTCACTGCAACCTCCGACTCCCTGGTTCAAGCGATTCTCCAGCCTCCTGAGTAGCTGGGACTACAGGTGCCCACCACCATGCCCAGCTAATTTTTTTTCTTTTTAGTAGAGACGGGGTTTCACCATGCTGGCCAGGTTGATCTCGAACTCCTAACCTCGTGATCTGCCCACCTCGGCCTCCTAAAGTGCTGGGATTACAGGCATGAGCCACTGCGTCCAGTTGGGTGCCTCCATCTTTAAGTCAGGGCATTGCCCTCATCCAGAGCCTTGTTGGGGGTTCAGTGGTAGAATTTCTTCAGATTCCATGTGATACTCAGTCGATACAGCCCAAAAGTTTACTTTGAGGCACCGAATTCTGTCATAGTCAAGAGTACAGGCTCTGGAGTCAGACCTTGGGTTTGAATGCAAGTTCCTCTCCTCACTTGCCTTAAGCAACCTGCCTTGGGCAAGTAATCTCCCACCCCTGAGCCTCAACTTCCTCATCTGCCAGAGTAAGGCAATGTATTGATTATCAATAAGGGTGCCTTTGGTCGCAAGTGACAAAAGTCTGACCCCAAATGGCTTAAGCAAAAAAAAAAAGATAATTTGTTAGACCACGAAACTACAGTTCAGGGTGTGGATTTCAGGCATGGCTGGAACCTGGAGCTCAAAGAATATGCCCAGGGTCTATTTTACTTTCTCAATTTCTTGGCTCTCTAGCCTTGCTTTCTTGCATAGTCCTGAGATGGTTCAGCAGCTCCTAGAGCAACATCTTGACTGATTCACATCCTTAGTCTGTGTCTCAGAATTCCCAGGTAAAGTCTTCATCTTCATTGTGATTGGACCACTGGAGGTCACATGTCCAGACTTGATCCAATCACCATAACCCAGGCGGATAGAATACTCTAAGCATGATACTGGTACCAAAACAGAGATACAGACCAATGGAACAGAAGAGAGGCCTCGGAGGCAACACCACACATCTACAACCATCTGATCTTTGACAAACCTCACAAAAACAAGCAATGGGGAAAGGATTCCCTGTGTAATCAATGATGTTGGGAAAACTGGCTAGCCATGTGCAGAAAGCAGAAACTGGACTCCTTCCTGACACCTTACACTAAAATTAGCTGCAGATGGATTAAAGACTTAAACATAAGACCTAACACCATAAAAACCCTAGAAGAAAACCTAGGCAAAACCATTCAGGACATAGGCATAGGCAAGGACTTCATGACCAAAACACCAAAAGCACTGGCAACAAAAGCCAAAATAGACAAATTGGAGCAAACTAAACTCCAGAGCTTCTGCACAGCTAAAGAAAAAGTCATTAGAGTGAATTGGCAATGAACAGAATGGGAAAAAAATTTTACAATCTACTCATTTGACAAAGGGCTAATATCTAGAATCTACAAAGAACTAAAACAGATTTACAAGAAAAAAACAAACAAGCCCATTCAAAAGTGGGCAAAGGATATGAACAGACATTTTACAAAAGAAGACATATATGAGGCCAACAAACATATGAAAAAAATGCTCATCATCACTGGTCATTAGAGAAATGCAAATCAAAACTACATTGAGATACCATCTCACACCAGTTAGAATGGCGACCATTAAAAAACCTGGAGACAACAGATGCTGGAGAGGATGTGGAGAAATAGGAACACTTTTACACTGTTGGTGGGAGTATAAATTAGTTCAACCATGTGGAAGACAGTGTGGCGATTCCTCAGGGACCTAGAAATAGAAATTCCATTTGACCCAGCAATCCCATTACTGGGTATATATCCAAAGGATTATAAATTGTTCTATTATAGGGACACATGTACACGAATGTTCATTGTGACACTGTTTGCAATAGCAAAGACTTGGAACCAACCCAAATGCCCATCTATGATAGACTGGACAGGGAAAATGTGGCACAAATACACCATGGAATACTATGCAGCCATAAAAAATGATGAGTTCGTGTCCTTTGTAGGGACATGGATGAACCTGGAAACCATCATTCTCAGCAAACTGACACAAGAACAGAAAATCAAACACCGCATGTTCTCACTCATAGGCAGGTGTTGAACAATGAGAACACATGGACACAGGGAAGGGAGCATCACACACTGGGGTCTGTGGCGGGGGGAACTAGGGAGGGACAGCAGGGGGTGGGGAGTTGGGGAGGGATAAAATGGGGAGAAATGTCAAATATAGGTGATGGGGAGGAAGGCAGCAAACCATAATGTCATGTATGTACCTATGCAACAATCTTGCATGTTCTTCACATGTACCCCCAAACCTAAAACACAATAAAATATACATATTTTTAAAAAGAAAGAAAAAATAAATAAAATTAATTAATAAAAAAATGGAATACTCTAGTTTAAACCAATTAGGGTCGACTTCTGGATCTGTGGGTGGGGTTAGCTCCATCAAATTGGTAACTAAGAAGCTGGGGTGGGGAGTGGAATTTGGGAAGGCTGCAGGCAAATAATACCTAACTCTGTAGAGAACTTACACTTGTCAACTACTGTTCTCAGCACTTTGCTTAGAACAGCCCAAGGAGTTGCATCCTGACATCATTCCCATTTTACAAATGAGGAAACTGAGGCGCAGGGAGCTTAAGTGGGTTAGTGACACTTCGAGGAAGTGGCAGAACTGGAAGCAAATATCTTGGGACTTTCATTAAGAGATGCCAGGACTGGTACATCCTAAACTCTTCCACCTGCTGAGAATCATTCTTTAGGAAAAGCTGATAGGATGAGGTCTGGCTGGGGAAGAGGACTCCTGGCTGCCTTCTCATCTTCCGCTTGTCTCTTCTGTCCACAGTGGGATGATTTCATGGAACTTGGCGGGAGCATCCCTGACACCCAACTGGAACAGGTCATCCAGAGCCAGAAAGCGAATCAGTGCGCCGTGCTCATCTACACTTCGGGGACCACAGGCATGCCCAAGGGAGTGATGCTCAGTCATGACAACGTATGCCAAAGTCCCTTTGCTCTGGAGTGGTGGCCTTTGGACTGTTTCTCTTCTTGGCTTCCAGGGGCAGCATGGATGGCATTCCAGGGTGTAGCACCCAGTGGCTCCTTCACCACTGGGGGACAGAGAGTAGTGTAGTTGCTTCACTAGGGGGCAGCAGAGTGCAGCCATTGAGAGCAAGGAATGCTGGTCAGGTCAAAAGCAGAAAAATATCTGGCACAGTATGCACCCGACCGACAATGGTTCCTTTGTGTGAGTAAGGAAGGGTGTGTGTGTGTGTGTGTGTGTGTGTGTGTGATGGAGTCTGTCTGCCTCCTGAGTTCAAGCAATTCTTGTGCCTCAGCCTCCTGAGTAACTGCGACAAGCCAGTGCCACCACACCTGACTAACTTTTTGTATTTTGGGTAGAGATGGGGTTTCACCATGTTGACCAGGCTGGCTCAAACTCCTGACCCCAGGTGATCCACCTGCCTTGGCCTCCCAAAGTGCTGGAATCACAGGCATGAGCCACTGTACCTGGCCTATTTTTTAAATTGTTTTTAGAGATGGGATTTTGGCTTCCTGTAAAATTTGATGCATACATTTTACTATAACAACAAGGAAAGCAGGCTTCAAGTTTAGCAATAAATCACTGGAGTAAAAATTAAAAGTTCAGACATTACAGAAGCCCTTATAACGAGATGATCTGGGACTCAACTGTACGATACATGATCTAGAAAAATATTATTTCTGGTCCAGTCCCCATCACCACTCCCTGCACCTGTGCCGTTGCTTCCACCCCATCCTGTTACCCACCTCCCATTCAATTCCCACCCTCACCTTCCCAGTCTGTCCTTTCTACAGCTACCAGAGGGCACTTGTGAACACCTGAGTCAGGTCCCATTCCTTTTTTGTTCTCAGCCCTCCTTGGCTCCCACCTCCCTCCAGGTAAAAGCCCAAGTCCTCCTGAGGCCAACAAGGCCCTGCAAACGTAGCCCCGTCTCCTTCCTCCTCTCCTCTCCTCCCTGTCTCCCCTTTGATCACTCTGTTCTAGCCACATGGTCCTCCTCGATATTCCTCCAACACGCCATACACAGTCCTGCCTCGAGGTCTTTGCACGAGCTCTGTGGGAAGGTATTTTCCCCTAGTTAGCCACACAGCTTGCTCCCTCACCTCCTTCCGGTGGGTCTCTGCTCAATGTCACTTCCTCAGTGAAGCCCTCCCTAACTTCCATGTTTGAAACAGCAAACAATAAACCAACCTATTACTACCTAATTTCCATTTGGCTACATTTTTTTCTTCCTTAGGATTTTTTTGATACTAACATATTATATGCTTATTTGTTTATCAGAAACATCAGCTCCTTGAGGGCAGGGGTTGTCTGTCTTATTTACTACTGTAACTGCAGTGCCTGGTGGGCAGGAGGACTCAATCCACTTTTGGGAAATGAATGAATGAAAGAAATCTGATTAAACAGGATATTCCTCTCTATGCTGGTTAGTATTTTTATGCTCCTGATGGCTGCATGTATGGTTATGGTAAGACAGTCTCCTAGCACAAAGGTTATAAGCATAAACCCTGGAGCAAGACTGCCTGCTTTTTAGGATTTTTTTTTCTCTTGTTAAGATGCTTATGGATTTTGGATGCTAGAACTTTTTTTTTTTTTTAGACAGAGTCTCACTCTGTCATCCAGGCTGGAGTGCAGTGGCGCTGTCTCGGCTCATTGCAATGTCCACCTCCTGGGTTTAAGGGATTCTCCCAAGCAGTTAAAATTACAGGCACCCACTATCACACATGGCTAACTTTTGTATTTTTAGTAGAGATGGGGCTTCACTATATTGGCCAGGCTGGTCTCAAAATCCTGACCTCAAGTGATCCACCCACCTCAGCCTCCGAAAGTGCCTGGATTACAGGCATGAGTCCCAATGCCCAGCTGATATTAGTCCTTTACTGGACGCATAGATGCAAATATTTTCTCCTGTTTTGTATGTTGTCTTTACTCTGTTGTTTCTTTTGCTGTGCAGAGGCTCTTAAGTCCCAATTGTCCATGTTTGCTTTTGTTGCATTTGCTTTTGTGGTCTTAGTCATAAATCCTTTGCCTAGGCCAATGTCCAGAATTGTTCCTAGATTTTCTTCTAGTTTCTTCATTCTTCTGCACATGGCTGGCCAGTTTTTCCAGCACCATTTATTGAATAGGACGTCCTTCCCCATTGTTTATTTTTGTTGACTTTGTCAAAGATCAGTTGGCTATGGGTGGCTTAATTTTTGAGTTCTCTATTCTGTTCCATTTATTTCTGTGCCTATTTTTGTATTAGTACCATGCTGTTTTAGTTACTTTAGCCTTGTAGTATAATTTGAAGTCAGGCAATGTGATGCCTCTAGCTGTGTTCTTTTCGCTTAGGATTGCTCTGGCTATTTGGGCTCTTTTTTTGGTTCCATACGAATTTTGGAATTGTTTTATATAACTACGTGGAAAATCATATTGGTAATTTGATAGGAATTGTGTTGAATCTGTAGATGGCTTTGAGTAGTATGGTCATGTTAACAATGTTGATTCTTCTTATCCATGAGCGTGGAATGTTTTTACATTTCTGTCATCTGTGATTTCTTCATCAGTGTCTTGAAAAGCTATTCTTGTAGAAATCTTTCATCTCCTTGGTTAAATGTGTCTATAGGTATTTTATTTTTTGTGTGGCTATTGCAAATGGGATAGAATTCTTGATTTGGTTCTCAACTTGAACATTATTGGTGTAGAAAACTGCTGATTTTTGTATATATTGATTTTGTATCCTGAAACTTTATTGAAGTCATTTATCTAGGAGTATTTTGGAGGAATCTTTAGGGTTTTCTAGATGTAGAATCGTATCATTGGTGAACAGAGATGATTTGACTTCCTCTCTTCCTATTTTCCTATTCGTACATCTTTTATCTCTTGCTTGTGCCTGAATGCTCTAAGACTTCTAATATTATGTTGAACAGGAGTGGTGAGAGTGGACATCCTTGTCCCATTTGAGTTTTTACAGGGAAAGCTTACGGCTTTTGCCCATTCGTTATGAAGTTTGCTGCAGGTTCAGCATAGACAGGTCTTATTATTTTAAGGTATACTCCTTTGATGCCTAGTTTGTTGAGGGCTTTTATCATAAAGGATGTTAGCTTTTGTCAAATGCTTTTTCTGCAGCCATTGAGATGATCATGTGGCTTTTGGTTTTAATTCTGTTTGTGTGATAAATCACATTTATTGATTTGTATATGTTGAACCGTCCTTGCATCCCAGGAATAAAGCCCACTTAAAAAGTGTCTTTATTTTCATTTGTTTCAAATAATTTTTTTATTGCTTCCTTAATTTGTTTACCCAAAAGTCATTAAGGAGCAAGCTGTTTAGTTTCCATGTACTTGTGTGGTTTTAAGGATTCCTCTTGGTATTGATTTCTAATTTTATTCCACTGTGGTCTGAGAAGATGCTTGATATGTTTTTTTTTTTAATTTATTAAGACTTTCATTGTGGCCAAGCATGTGATTAACCTTAGAGAATGTTCCATGTGAAGATGAGAAAAATGTATATTCAGTGGTCACTGGGTGGAGTAGTCTGAAGATGTCTATTAGGTCCATTTGGTCAACTGTCCAATTTAGTCCAGAATTTATTTTCTGCCTCAACGATCTGCCTACTTCTGTCAATGGGGTGTTGAAGTCCCTCACAATTATTGTATGGCTATCTTTTTTCTTTTTCTTTTCTTTTTTTTTTTTTTTTTTTTTTTGAGATGGAGTTTCGCTCTTGTTACCCAGGCTGGAGTGCAATGGCGCGATCTTGGCTCACTGCAACCTCCGCCTCCTGGGTTCAGGCAATTCTCCTGCCTCAGCCTCTTGAGTAGCTGGGATTACAGGCACGCGCCACCATGCCCAGCTAATTTTTTGTATTTTTAGTAGAGACGGGATTTCACCGTGTTGACCAGGATGGTCTCGATCTCTTGACCTCGTGATCCACCCGCCTCAGCCTCCCAAAGTGCTGGGATTACAGGCTTGAGCCACCGCACCCGGCGGCTATCTTTTTTTCTTAAGTCTAGTAGTATTTGTCTTATAAATCTGGGTGCTCTGATGTTGGGAGGATGGTTAGATCATCTGGTTGAACTGAACATTCTCTCTCTCTTTTTTAACTGTCATTAGTTTAAGATCTGTTTTATTGGATTAAAAAAAAGAGCACCATCTCATCTAATTTGTTTTCTGTTTGCATGATAGATCTTTCTCCATCCCTTTACTTTGAGCCTGTAGGTGTCACTACATGTGAGATGGGTCTCTTGAGGGCAACAGAGGGTTGGGTCTTTTTTTTTTTTTTTTTAATCAAATTTGTCACTCTGTGTCTTTTAAGTGCTATATTTAGGATGTTTATGTTCAACGTTAATGTTGATATGTGAGGCTTTGTTCCTGTCATAGTGTTTTTAGCTAGTAGCTTTGTAGTCTTGATTGTGTAGTTGCTTTATAGGGTCTGTGGGCTTTGTACTTACATATACTTTTATGGTAGCAAGTATTGTTCTTTTGTTTTCATGTTTAGAACTCCTTTGACCATTTCTTTTCAGGCTGATCTAATGATGACAAATTCCCTTACATTTCCTTGTCTGAGAAATATTTTATTTCCCTTCATCTATGAAACTTAGCTTGGTGGGATATAAAATTATTGGCTGGCATTTATTTTTCTTTAAGAAGGCTAAAAATGGGCCCCCAATCTTTTGTGGCTTGTAAGGTTTCTGCTAAGAAATTCACTGTAACTCTGATGGAATTTCCTTTATATGTAATTTGGCCCTTTTCTCTAGCTGCCTTTAAGGTTTTTTGTTTTTGTTTTTCACACTGACCTTAGTCTGAGGACTATATGCCTTGGAGGTGGCCATACTCTATAGCATCTCACAGGAGTTCTCTGGATTTCTTGTATGTAGATGTCAACCTCTCTAGCAAGATTAAGGAAATTTTCCTGTATTACTCCCTCAAACAGGTTTTCCAAGTTGCTTACTTTTTCTTCTTTTGCCTCAGCAATGCCAATAAGTCATAGGTTTGGTTGCATAATCCCATATTTCTCAAAGATTTTTTTTTAATTCTTTTTTCTTTAGTTTTGTCTGACTTTTGTCTTTTTTTAAACTGTCATTCGTTACAAACTGTTTGAAAGATCAGTCTTCAAGCTCTGAATTTCTTTCTTCTGCTCAGTCTAATCTATTGTTAAAACTTCCAACTATATGTTTAAATTTCTATAGTAAATTTTTCAATTCCAGAAGTTCAACTTGGTTTTTTCTTAATATATCTATATTGTCTTTCATATCTTGAAGTGTTTTTCTAGTTTCCTTATATTGGATTCCAACTTTCTCTTGGACCTAAGTTTCCTTGCAATCCATATTTTGAATTCTTTATCTGTCATTTCAGACATTTCAATCAGGTGAGGACCCATTGCTAGAGAACAGGTGAGATTCTTTGGAGGTGTTCAAACACTCTGGGTTTTTCCACTGCCAGAATTCTTGTTCTGATTCCTTCTTATCCGAGGGAGCTGTCACTTCTTATATTTGGATCTTCTATTGTTTGGATGAGACTTTTGTATTTTTAAATTCTATTTCCCCTTGAGGGTATGGCTGTGGTGTATGTTGTGTATGATTGCATGGCCTTGCTTCTGAGTGCTTTTGGGGGCCAAAGGTCTGTATGGGTTCCATGGTTGTGGATAGCTTCTATGCAGTGGCTTTCTCAGATGCTGCTTGTTGTAAAGATAAATTGTACCTAAGAGCCAACACTGTCTCCTGCAGGACTGAGGGTGCTGAGGTCTCAGGAGGCTTATCTCATGCACTGTCAATAAACCCTTCCAGTAGCAAGTTTTGTTTGGTGGTGCCGCGCAGGCTGCAGTCCAGTAGGTGGCACTTAAAAGTCAGAGCCAGTAGGTAGGCTGGTTCCAGGTAGGCATGCATACCCTGATGGAGGTATCAGAAAGAGATCACAATGGGGTGCACTGAGGTCTCAGGGGTAGGGGCAGGGGATGCACTAGCTCCTTGTTCTGAGCTAGCAGGAATGTTGTGTTTCTGATTCCACAACTGTAAAACAGGAAGAACTACAGTTACTGACCCCCAAGTGTTATGATGATTAAATGACTTTGTGTTTGTAAAGTATGAACACAGTGTCTGGCTCACAGTAGGTGCTTTATAAGTGTTTACTAAATTTATTTACTTATTTATTTCACTAAGTACATTTAAAATGGGCCTCCAGGCTAGGCATGGTCCCTCAGACCTATAATCCTAGCACTTTTGAGGCCACGCTGGAAAATATAGTGAGACCTCCCTCTCTACAAAATAGTTTTTAAAAAATTAACTGGGTGTGGTGTGTGCCTGTAGTCCCAGCTACTCAGGAGGCTAAGATGGGAGGATCCCCTGAACTCAAGAGTTTGAGGCTACAGTGAGCTGTGATCACACCACTGTACTCCAGTCTGGGAAACAAGAGTGAGACCCTGTCTGAAAATTAAATAAATAAATAATTTAAAAATGAAATGACCCTTCTGTGAGGGTGAGGCACCCTGGATTATTCCTTATGTTACAGATCACGTGGACAGCAGGAGCAGTGGCAAAGGACTTGAAACTGACAGAAAAGCATGAGATGGTGGTCAGCTACCTCCCACTCAGCCACATTGCAGCACAGATGATGGACATCTGGGTACCCATAAAGATTGGAGCACTCACATACTTTGCTCAACCAGATGCTCTCAAGGTAAGACTGAGTAAGGACCTGGTGCCCCTACTTCATCCTCTTAGGCAGCCCAGGTGAGTAGATGGTTGTTAATCATTGGACAGATTCTTTGGATGAAGTTCCAGGTCTAACGCTTTTTTTCTCTGTCCTCATCTTAATGCTCTATTTAGAAGCATTGAAAACAAGACCAGGCACAGTGGCTCATGCCTGTAATCCCAGCACTTTGGGAGGTCAAGGCACACATATTGCATGAGCCCAGGAGTTGAGACCAGCTTGAGCAACATAGCAAAACTCCCTCTCTACAAAAACAATTAATAATAATAATAATAGTAAATTTTTCTAAAAAAAAAAATCTGACCAAATAAAAGAAAAACTTTTTTTTTTTTTTTTTAGCCAGCTGGCTACATTCTCTTAGTTTTTATCTTTATCCAACTCAAGGCATCCATGGTTATGTGGACTGAACTGATCAACCCAAGACAAAGATGTACTTGATATTGAAAGTAAAGTACATGTGTGCATGTGTGTGTGTGTTTTGTAAGTCAGTATTATTCTCAAATCTAAAAAGCTCAAAAAAACAGGAATTTTTGGCAGCAAAGTCTGATCTGAATTGATAAAATGCTGTTTGTGGTCTTCATTTTATTCTACTTACTGGGATTTTGCATATATTTGACTGTACCCTTTAGACATTATCTAATGCTTTTCTATTGTGGTGAGGACTTAGCTCCCTTCCTCTTCTGTCTCCTCATTTCTCCTTCTCCATTCTCTCCATATAAATTATTCTTAGTTAGCTGAGCCAAGTAGTTTACTGTATGATTACATTTCTTGTTTAGTACAACTTTTTGTTTTTCTCAGAATTAATAGTTGCCTTTCTTTTCCAATTTGGTGAAGTTTTTGCATTCATGTCCAGTTGCTCCATTTGATCTGTCACATGCTTATCAATATTCTCCACATGTTCAAATATTCATTGCAGTTTTTTAAGACGGAGTCTTGCTCTGCTGCCCAGGCTAGAGTGCGGTGGTGCAATCTCAGCTCGCTACAACCTCTGCTTCCTGGGTTCAAATAGTTCTCATGCCTCAGTCTCCCAAGTAGCTGGGACTGCAGGCCTGTGCCACCACACCTGCTAATTTTTGTATTTTTAGTAGAGAGAGTTTCGCCATTTTGGCTACGCTGGTCTTGAACTCCTGACCTCAGGTGAGCCTTGGCCTCCCAAAGTGCTGGTATTAACAGGCATGAGCTACTATGCCCTGCTTCATTGCATTATTTGTTCCTCCATCCTCCTGCTCTTAGCTGGACTGTTGTTTTAGACTATCTTAGGTTGGGTCCCCTAGAAGCAAAATCTGAGTTGGAGATCCTTGTGATTTATCAATGGGAGCTCTCAGCTGAAAACCAAAAGGAAGAGAGGAGAGGATAGGCTGGGGAAAAAAACAAGAAAGGATGCATATTCAGCTGGATTGTAACCTCAGACTGATCCACAGGAAGCTCTGAGGCATGAATGACACCACAGAGTTGTTCCACTTTGAGGCAAGGAGGCTGTGCTTTTGTAACTCCAACTCAGTCACTGGCTGTGGGCTCAGGCACCCATGGAGGGTAGGGTGCACAACTTTCCAGTTATTTCTAAGTAAGGGCAGTAAAATAAGGAACTGTGGGCCATTAGAGATATGGATAGGATATCAACAGCATCTTCTACAAGCTGCCATAGAGGGATACCCCTTCTCTCCACTCCTGGGTTGGATCCCCTGTTTTCTGGGGTTATTGCCTTCTTTATTTGGATTATTCCTTGAGTTAGCTGGAGATCATTCATTGGTACGTTTTTCAAAGCATTTATGTGAGAGAACACATTGATTTGCTTTTTAAAATATTGTGTGTGTGTGTGTGTGTGTGTGTGTGTGTGTGTGTGTGTGGTGGTGGTGTTGTTGTTTTTAGAGACAAGGTCTTGCTATGTCACTCAGCCTGGAATGCGGTGGCATGATCATAGCTTACTGCAGCCTTAAATTTCAGGGCTCAAGGGATCTTCCCACCTCAGTCTCCTCTGTAACCAGGACTACAGGCATGTACCACCAGGCTTGACTAATTTGTTTAACAGTGATTTCCTACATGTCTGGACTTTGCAAACTTAACAGAGCCAGGAAAGAACCCTGACATTTCTTCCAAGCTACATTCTCTGAATTAGTTTCCTGCTAATGCTACAACAAATGAACACAAACTTAGTGACTTAAAACAACATTTATCTATTTATTTAGAGATAGAGCCTCATTCTGTCGCCCAGGCAGGAGTGCAGTGACATGATCTCAGCTCACTGCAACTTCCACCACCTCCTGGGTTCTAATGATTCTCGTGCCTCAGCCTCCCAAGCTGGGATTACAGGTGTGCGCCATCATGCCCAGCTAATTTTTGTATTTTTAGTAGAGACGAGATTTCACCATGTTGGCCAGGCTGGTCTCAAACTCCTGGCCTCAAGTGATCCACCTGCCTCAGCCTCCCAAAGTGCTGGGATTACAGATGAGTGAGCACACCTAGCCCACTTATTATCTTATAGTTCTGGTGGTCACAGGTCTGAAAATGGGTCTCACTGGGCTAAAATCAAGATGTCATCAGGGCTGCATTCCTTCTAGAGGCTCTTGAGGAGAATCTATTTCCTTTTGCCTTTTCCAGCTTCTAGAGGCTACCTATGTTCCTCATCTCACGGCCCCTTCCTCCATCTTCACAGCCAGCAGTGCAGCCTCTTCCCACCTCTCTCTGACTCTGACCCTTCTGCCTCCCTTTTACAAGGAACCTGTGAAGACAGTGGGCCACCCAGATCATCCAGGATGATCTACCATCTCAAGATTCTTAACATAATCCCATCTACAAAGTCCCTTTTGCCATGAAAGATTATATATTCACAGGTTCCAGGGATTAGAACGTGGACATTTTTAGGGAGCCGTTATTTTGCCTCCCACACTCTCCATCAAGCAGGCTAAATCTCAGGGCCTTTGTACTTCCTCCTAGAAGGTTCTTTCTCCTGTTCTTTTCAGGGCTGACTCTTCTTTGTTATTTAGCTCTCTGCTAAATATTTCCTTGGCCCCTTTCAGTTCCTCTTTTATGTTCCATGCTCAGTGCCTGAGATGTGTTAGGTAATCAATAAATATTTTTCTTGGCTGAACACGTAACACATACACATTTACCTGCAAGACCTGAGAAGCTTCCATTTTCCTACATCCTTACCAACTCCTAATGTAGTGAAAATGTTTACAAATTGTCTAGTGACAAAAGTGTCTTAATATTTTCAGAAATTTCCAGACTGTTTTCCAAAGTAAGTGCACCATTTTACATTTCCATCAGAAACGTGAAGGTTACAGTTTCTCTACATCTTCACTAACACATTATTATCTGTTTTATTATTATTATTGCCATTTGACTTTGTATTTCCTTGATGATTAATGATAGTGAGCATCTCTTCATGTGTTTATTGACCATTTGCATATCTTCTTTGAAAAAATAAATCTGTTCAAATAGTTTGGCCATTTAAAAATTTGGTTGCTCTTTCTGTGCTAGCATCACTAGTAAAAAGGAAAGTAAAAGCTGGGTATGGTGGCTCACACCTATAATCCTAGCACTTTGGGAGGCCATGCCAGGCAAATCACTTAAGGTCAAGAGTTCAAGACCAGCCTGGACAACATGGTGAAACTCCATCTCTACTGAAAAAAAAAAAAAAAAAAAAAAAAAAACTACAACAATTAGCTGGGCATGGTGGCATGCCAGCTACTCAGGAGGCTGAGGCAGGAGAACAGCTTGAACCCAGGAGGCAGAGGCTGCAGTGAGCTGAGATGGTGCCGCTGGACTCCAGCCTGGGCAACAGAGGGAGGCTCTATCAGAAAGAAAGAGAGAGAGAAAGGGGGAGGGAGGAAGAAAGGAAGGAAAGAACGGAAGGAAAATTAAAAACTAAAAAAATTTTGGTTGCATATCTAATCTTATTGTGGAGTGTTCAGGGTTCTTTACATATTCTGGTTACAAATCCTTTACCAAATTTGTGGTTTGCTGATACTTTCTCCCAGTTCTACGGCTTGTTGTTTTCTCAATAATCTTTTGAAGTGGAAAAAGCGTTTAATTTTGATGAAGTTTGATTTATCTAGGTTATTTTATGCTTTTAGTATCATATCTAGGAAATCTTTGCCTAACCTAAAGTCACAGAGATTTTCATCTACGTTTTCTTCCAGAAGGCTTTTAGTTTGATCGCTTATATTTAGGGCTATGATGCATTTTCAGGTGATTTTCGTGTTTGGTGAGAAATAAGGCTTTAAGCCCAAGTTTTGTGTAGGTGTTTTTTTGTTTGTTTTATTTTGTTCTGCATTTCAATAGTCCCCCCACTCAACTTCCACTAAATTGCCTTGGCATTTTGTTGAAAATCAATTGATGATAAATGTAAGGTTTTGTTTCTGGATCTTCTATTTTGTTCCACTGATCTGCATGTCTGTCTTTACACCAAAGCCACACTGATTTGATTACACTAGCTTTATAGCAGGATGACTAATTTTTCCTGGTTTGCATGGGACTTTCCCAGTTTTAAAACAGAAAGTTTCACATTTCAGATACTCCTGCAGTTCTGGGTAAACCAGGATGGTTGTTCACCCTACTTCAGAGAGGATAGTAAGTCCTCCAATCTTGTCTTTCTTTTCCAAAATTGCTTTGGCTATTCTAGGTCCTCTGCATTTCTATATAAATTTTAAAAATGGCTTGTCAATTTGTATTTTTTAAAAAACTGCCTAGATTTTCATAGGGATTGCATTGAAACTACAAGTCACTTTAGGGGAGAATCTTGCATCTTTTTAACAGTTGTATAATAGTCCACTGCATGCTTGGACCACAGTTTCTTTAGCCAACCCCTTGTCATTGAACCTGTAAGGTGTTTCCATTGTGTTACAAAACAGTGCTGCAAAGAATATCTTGAATGTGTTTGTTTGTGTGCCTGAGTCTTTCCTTCAGCTGAATTACTTCACCCATAGAAATGAAATTGACAGGTTGCATTTAAAATGTTAATAGGACTGTCATGTTACCTTCCAAAAATATCTTACCAGGTTTTATGCTCCTCATCAAATCCCTAGAGAGGGTACAAAAATCTGATTGGCCAACCCAGCCAATGGGTTGTCTCCTTTGAGTTGGAAGCCATGCCTGATCTGATCAGTGAAGGAATGTTCTCTTGGACAGAGTTGGGTCGATCAGGAGAGATGGACCTCCCTGATGCACGAAAGGCACTGCTGTGGCAAACCTAGCTTTGTTCCATACAGGGCACCTTGATAAATACTCTAAAGGAGGTAAAGCCTACTGTCTTCTTGGGAGTGCCCCGAATTTGGGAGAAGATGCAAGTGGAAGTGAAGAAAAATAGTGCCAAGTTCACAGGCTTGAGTAAGAAGGTATTTGTGTGGGCAAGAAACATTGGCTTCAAGATCAACTCAAAAAAGATGTTGGGGTAGGTGGAGCATCCAGAGGGCTGGGAGGGTAGTTGGCGAAGGAGGAGGCTCAGCCTTCTCCAGTGGGTCCCATCAGCCCCCTTCCACTTGATGCATTCTTATTCACAGGAAACATAATACTCCCATGAACTACCGCATGGCTAAGACTCTTGTGTTCAGCAAAGTGAAGATGTCCCTTGGCTTGGATCACTGTCACTCTTTTATCTGCGGGGCTGCGCCCCTCAACCAAGAGACTGCCGAGTTCTTTCTAAGCTTGGACATACCTATAGGCGAGTTGTATGGGTTGAGTGAGAGCTCAGGACCCCACACAATATCCAACCAGAATAACTATCGGCTTCTAAGGTATCAGCCTCCTGGGCAGACCCCTGCTCCTCCCATAACATGGGGTCAAGAGGGGGAAGATGGGTGGATAGGTGGGCCTCTGGGTTAAGAGGAATCCTGACATGGTGTCTCCAGAATGCTCCTGTTCTCCAGCCTCCAAGTCCTAACTATGCAGGACCATGGGAAGCCCTAGATGGTCAAAGAGCCACAGACAAGGGGGATGGCTCTCTGAACATTCCATGGTTTCCCTGTTTGTCACTTGTGAGTTCTGCCTCCAAGTTCACCGCCTGTGACCTCAGCACCTTTCATTCCCATGATCCTCCATTTCAAAACACCTCCATGGGCCATTCCTGGTTTTCTCCCAAGCTCAGCTCGCCCTAGGCTGTAAGGTTGGACCCACTGATAAAAAAAACTTTAAGAATACCAAATTCAGGTTCAAATTCCCATCATAGCTGTCATAGAATCTTCTGGTTGTGTTTCTCCCTGACTCCTTCTTTTTTAGCACAGATGAGCTTTGAAAAAAATCTCTTCGTATATGTGTTTATTTATTGTTAAAAATTTAATTATGAAGTATTTTTAGAGATAGGGTCTCACTTTGTTGCCCAGGCTGGAATGTAATGGCACAACCATAGTTCACTGTAACTTTGAACTCCTGGACTCAGCTTCCCAACTAGCTGAGACTATATGTATGAGCCTCTATGCTCAGCAGTTTAAATACATATATATATATTTTCGTAGAGATGGGGTCTTGCTATGTTGCCCAGGCTGGCCTCAAACTCCTGGACTCAAGCAATCCTCAGCCTCCCAAAGCGCTGGGATTACAGGCATGAAACATCATGCCCAGCCTTTTCATATACTAAAAGTCATTTGTACTTCCTTTCCTATGTACTGTCCATATTATCTGCCTGTTTTTAAAATTAGATTATTGGTCCCTTTATTATTGGTTTGTTGGCACTCTTTACAAATTAAGAAAATCAGCCCTTTGTCTTTCATATGAGCTACAAATATTTTATCCCCTGGCTTGTCATTGGTATTTTTATTTTAGTTAAGATTTTTTTTTTTTTACTGTGCAGAAATCTGTGGTCACAAATTTACATGGTGAACTTATCAATCTTTTCTTTTACGGCTTTTGGATTTTTCCACATACCTAGAAAGCCTTCAGTGGGAAAATCATAAGGCAGCTTTTGATTTCTCAGGCCTGTCTCTATTATATTATTATTATTATTATTTATTTATTTATTTTTTTTTTGCTCACCAGGAGAATTCCTACAGTTAAACCTGGGTCCACTGGCCTTCTAACTTAATCAAAGAGATCTCAGCAACACAAGGAGAAAATACTTCCTTTCCTGCATCCTAGAACTGCCCTGGACAATGCTATCTCTATTTTAAAAAATTAGATGCCGGGCGCGGTGGCTCAAGCCTGTAATCCCAGCACTTTGGGAGGCCGAGGCTGGTGGATCATGAGGTCAAGAGATCGAGACCATCCTGGTCAACATGGTGAAACCCCGTCTCTACTAAAAATACAAAAAATTAGCTGGGCATGGTGGCGTGTGCCTGTGATCCCAGCTACTCAGGAGGCTGAGGCAGGAAAATTGCCTGAACCCAGGAAGCGGAGGTTGCGGTGAGCCGAGATCTCGCCATTGCACACCAGCCTGGGTAACAAGAGCAAAACTCTGCCTCAAAAAAAAAAAAAAAAAGATTTCGCCGGGCGCGGTGGCTCAAGCCTGTAATCCCAGCACTTTGGGAGGCCGAGGCGGGTGGATCACAAGGTCGAGAGATCGAGACCATCCTGGTCAACATGGTGAAACCCCGTCTCTACTAAAAATACAAAAATTAGCTGGGCATGGTGGCGCGTGCCTGTAATCCCAGCTACTCAGGAGGCTGAGGCAGGAGAATTGCCTGAGCCCAGGAGGTGGAGGTTGTGGTGAGCCGAGATCATGCCATTGCACTCCAGCCTGGGTAACAAGAACGAAACTCTGTCTCAAAAAACAAACAAACAAACAAAAAAAACCCAAAAAATTAGAAGGCCGGGCACGGTGGCTCAAGCCTGTAATCCCAGCACTTTGGGAGGCCGATGCGGGTGGATCACGAGGTCAAGAGATCGAGACCATCCTGGTCAACATGGTGAAACCCTGTCTCTACTAAAAATACAAAAAAAAATTTAGCTGGGCATGGTGGTGCGTGCCTGTAATCTCAGCTACTCAGGAGGCTGAGGCAGGAAAATTGCCTGAACCCAGGAGGCAGAGGTTGCGGTGAGCCGAGATCGCGCCATTGCACTCCAGCCTGGATAACAAGAGCGAAATTCTGTCTCAAAAAAAAAAAAAAAAAAAAAAATTAGAAGAAGAACCCAGAACCCAGATTGTAAACAGTGCTACTGTTTTATGAAAGTAACTTTTACCTCTAAAGAGATTCTAAGTGGTTGTCATTCTTAAAATTAGCTGTCCTAATCACTGCAGAGAGGTCTACCAGTTTTCTTAAAGATAAAGGGTTTTTGTTCCTATCCTTAAGCCAAAAGCACTTTTTTCTTTGCCGGTATATGTGGAGATAAAAAAACAAAGAACAGAAACAGCCTACAATGCCGCTGGATTTTCTTTTTCGTTCTTTCATTTTTGTTTTTGTTGTTTGTTTTTTGAGACAGGGTCTCACTCTGTCACCTAGGCTGGAGTACAGTGGCGTGATCACTACTCACTGCAGCTTTGACCTCCTGGGCTCAGGCGATTCTCCCACCTCAGCCTCTCAAGTAGCTGGGACCACAGATACGTACCACTGTACCCAACTTTTATTTTTTATTATTTTTGTAGAGAGACGGGTTTTCCGTATGTTGCCCAGGTTGGTCTTGAACTCCCGGGCTCAAGCAATACTCCTGCCTCAGCTTTCCAAAGTGTTAGGATTATAGGCGTGAGCCACCACACTCAGCTACTGCTGGGTTTTCCAGTTCACAAAGCCTTTGGGAATCTGACACACTGGATTAAACACTGCAGCAAACACCTCCTTATGTGCACTGGAGTGCATATCCAGCCTACTCTAGCTGAGCAGAGTATTAGGATCCTAGGTGGCAGACCCAGGCAGAGCTGGGTGTCTGACTTTGTCTCTATGAGCCTCAGTTTCTCTGCTTCTGTCCCTTCAGCTGCGGCAAGATCTTGACTGGGTGTAAGAACATGCTGTTCCAGCAGAACAAGGATGGCATTGGGGAGATCTGCCTCTGGGGCAGGCACATCTTCATGGGCTATCTGGAAAGTGAGACTGAAACTACAGAGGCAATTGATGAGGAAGGCTGGCTACACTCTGGGGATCTGGGCCAGCTGGACAGTCTGGGTTTCCTCTACATCACTGGCCGCATCAAAGGTACCAGGGGCTGAGCTCTTTGGGGATCTCCCGCAAGCAGGCCCACCTGAACATTTAAGGGCCCAGGGTACCAGCACAAAGGCCACCCCAGTTCCTCACCTTCCCAGAGGAGCTGTGCAGAAACACCTCAGTCTATACAACTCAGCTCTGTTCCCCTGTCCTGCAAACAGTCACTTCTTGGTCACTTGGCATCCCATGGTCCACCCTCAGGAGGATGGATCTGCAAAAGACAAGCCCTGGAATCTCCTGAAGCCCCTTTCAGAATAGCACGAACCCAGAGGGAAACTCAGTAAGAGAAGGATAAAGAAATTCCTTGTGACATTTTGGCACCTGGATCCAGCCATACTCTTTTGAACTTTTTAGTTATATTGAGCCAACAGTTTAACTTTTTTTTACTCAAACTCATTCAAGCTGCCTCAAATGGGCTTGAATTAAAAAGCACCATTTTCTTCTGCAATTTCAGAGGATACTAATCTACAGAGTTGTAAGGATTAAAGAAAGTATAGAACAAGGATAAGCCAACTTTTCCTGAAGAGGGCCCTTTAGTAAATATTTTTGGGTTCACAAAACATGCGTCTCTGTTGCAGCTTCTCAACTCTGTGATTTGTAGCACAAAAACAGCTGTTGACAACACATAAAGAATGGGTGTGGCCAGCTGCCAATGAGTGTCATATTTTTTATATGTCAAAAATATTCTTCTTTTGACTTCCAGCAACTTAAAAAGTGTAAAACTCATTTTTAGCTTTTGGTCATACAAAATGGGATAGTGGCCTGGATGTGGCCACTATGGGCCACAGTTTGCCAAAACCTGATGGAGAACACTTAGTATGTTCTTACTAAAACCTGCTTAACATGGGGTTTTAATAGGTTTGAGGGAAAAAAATGGCAAAACTGTTGACTCAACATAACTGAAAAGGTCAGCTGGCCAAAAGGTCAGCTGGCTGAATTTGGGTGCCAAAATGAGGTCATAAGAAATTTTAAAATTCGTTTCTTGAGTTTTTCTCTGTGCTGGTACTATTTTGAGAGAGGGTCTCACTCTTTTTGTCCAGGCTGGAAGGCAGTAGTGCAATTATGACTCACTGTGGCCTTGACTTCCAGGCTCAGGTGATTCTCCCACCTGAGCCTCCTAAGTAGGACTACAGGCATGTGCTACAACATCCGGCTAATTTTTTGCAGAGACCTGGTTTTACCATATTGCCCAGGGTGGTCCTGCACTTGTGCACTCAGTGATCTGCCCACCTTGGGCTTCCAAAGTGGTGGGATTACAGATATCAGCTGCTGTGCCTGGCCGCTGGTGCTTTTTTTTTGTTTTTTGTTTTTTGTTTTTTTTGAGACAGGAGTCTTGCTCTTATTGTCCAGGCTGGAGTGCAGCAGTGCAATCTCAGCTCACTGCAACCTCTGCCTCCTGGGTTGAAGCAAGTCTTCTGCCTCGGCCTTCCGAGTAGCTGGGATTACAGGCATGGGTCACCACGTCTGGCTAATTTTGTATTTTTAGTGGAGACAGGGTTTCTCCATGTCGGTCAGGCTGGTCTCGAACTCCTGACTTCAGGTGATCTGCCTGCCTCAGCCTCCCAAAGTGCTGGGATTACATGCGTCAGCCACCGCACCCGGACTTTTGTTTTGTTTTGTTTTGTTGGAGATGGAGTTTCACTCTTGTTGCCCAGGATGGAGTACAGTGGTATGATCTCAGCTTACTGCAACTTTTGCCTTCCAGGTTCAAGTGATTCTCCTGCCTCAGCCTCCTGAGTAGCAGGGATTACAGGCACGTACCACCACACCTGGCTAATTTTTGTATATTTAGTAGAGACAGGTTTCACCATGTTGTCCAGGCTGGTCTCAAACTCCTGACCACAGACGATGCACCTGCCTCCGCCTCCTAAAGTGCTAGGATTATAAGTGTGAGCCACGGTGCCCGGCCGCTGCTATTCTTAAAGAAACTTTGCCATCTGATAGCAAGAAAGCTACCAACAGTCTAGGCTCACCTCTAACCCCCCAAGGGACTAGAGTGTATTATTCTCAATGTTTTCAGCAAATGAGGCCTCTCATTGGATCCTTGGGCCAAGATCTCTCTCAGAATGAATCACTGTTGGGGGTGAAATATGCTGATTGGTCAGAGCTGGTCACATGCTCACCCCTGCAGTCCAACTCACCCAAATCATATACATTAAAATGTGGAGAGGCCGGGGGTGGTGGCTCACGCCTGTAATCCAAACACTTTGGAGGCCAAGGCGGGCGGATCACCTGATCCACCTGGGAGTTCAAGACCAGCCTGGGAGTTCAAGACCAGCCTGACCAACATGGTGAAACCCCATCTTTAAAAATTAAAAAAAAAAAAAAAAAAAAAAAAAAAAAAAAAAAAAAACGTGGAGAGTAGTTCCCACTCAGAGTACTCTTACTCCAAGGAGGAGTTACACCACTGATATCCATTTCATGGTCATATTGATTATTATTACTGCTATTAACGACCACAGTAAAGGTGATTTTGTGTGTCCCTTCGGGACAAGGGGGAATTTGGGTGGGTGGGACAGAAAGAGGGAAGTATCTCAGGATAAAAGAACAAGTGACCAGTGGGTCTGGAGCAGGAAAAGGCACTGTTGAAGAATTTCAGAGACTGAGAAAGATTCTTTCAGAGTTTGCCAAAATTAGGGTTGCTACACATGTCCCTGGGGGTAAGACTGGAATTACATTACATTCTGTTGGGGTTACTAAGTGATTAAGAAGCAAGAGACAGACACACCAGGTGTAGCCAAAAAGGCTTCACTATCTTTCAAGGAAGACATACAGAAGAACCTAAAACCAGGGCATGGTGGACCAGGAAATAGGAAACAGCCAATTAATTATTAAGAGGCTGTCCAAGAGGAAGACACAACTTGGATACTTGATGGGAATTAAAAGTGGGTGGGGGAAGAGGGCCAGCTCCTCCTGTACTTCTGGGGCTTTCTGGGTGAGTGTTGGCCATGCCAGCAACTGCGCTTCTGATCTTCAAGGGGATGGGGGTTCCACGCTGTCATGGCGGGACACGTACCAAGCCAAGCTCTGTTCTAGAAATCCTTATCACTGCCGGTGCTGAAAACGTGGCCCCCATTCCCATTGAGACCTTGGTTAAGAAGAAGATCCCCATCATCAGTAACGCCATGTTAGTAGGAGATAAACTGAAGTTTCTGGGCATGTTGCTGACGCTGAAGGTAACATGGGTTTGCTGTCATTGGGGGGCGGTCTCTGCTGGCCTTGCACTCCCTGGCCCCACCCCAAGGTCAGGAGGGTACACCTGTGGGTTCAAGACCCACTTCTTGGTCTTTGGGCCTGGGGAGGGGTGCTGGCCAAGGAGAGTATGTGGTGACAGGGGTGTCCTGGGGCAGTGTGAGATCAATCAGATGAGCGGAGAACCTCTGGACAAGCTGACCTTGGAGGCCATCGACTTCTGCCGGGGTCTGGGTAGCTTGGCATCTACCGTGACTGACATTGTGAAGCAGAAAGACTCCCTGGTCTACAAGGCCATCCAGGAAGGCATCAATGATGTGAACCAGGAAGCCACAAGCAATGCGCAGAAGATTCAAAAGTGGGTCATCTTGGAGAAGGACTTTTCCATCTATGGTGGAGAGCTAGGTGAGGGGCCATGACATTTTGAGGCTGGTCCCTTGTTAGCACCTGGGACTGTGTGGGCTCTGAAGAGATAGGTCCTTTCCTGAAGGTCAGAGGGTCTATGAGATCAGCCAGGAACCAGGAGAGGGATGCTGCCACCTCTAGCTAACTGGTCCCCAGCTCCCCATCCTGGAAATAAAATCCAAACTCCTTATTATAGAGCTATACAATCTCTCTCTTTCTGACCTTTCACTAACTGCTCCAAATCCATGGGCTTTCTTGATGTTCCTGCATCTCTCTGGGCTTTGTCCAACTATAGGGCCTTTGCATCTGCCAGTCTGCCTTCCTGGGAGTGCCCTTTCCCAATTCCTTGCAAGAATAGCTCCTTCTCATTGTCCAGGTCTCACCCTACAGGCCGTTTACTCCTCAGAGCAGCCTTGTACAGGACCACTAGGTCTGTATGCCCACTGCACAGTAATATACCAATATACTGAAACAACAGGGGTTGCAGCAAAGACAGGCACAGTGTCTTAATTATGGCCAGGCACAGTGTCTCATGCCTGTAATCCCAACACTTTTGGGAGGCTGAGGTGGGCAGATTGCTTGAGCCCAGGACTTTGAGACCAACCTGGGCAACATGGTGAAATTCCATCTCTACAAAAAATACAAAAATTACCTGAGTATGGTGGCACATGCCCAGTTTCTCGAGAGACTAAGGTGGGAGGATTGGTTGAGCTAGGGGAAGTCAAAGCTGCAGTGAGCCATCATCATGCCACTGCACTCCAACCTGGGAAATGGAGTGAGCTCTGTCTCAAAAATAAAAAACAAACCTGCAAAAACAAAAAACAAACAAACAAAAAGAAATTAAATTCCCTTGCAGGGAAGCCAACCAAGATGGAAGGAACCCCCAAATCTCTCTTTGAGGAATTCTCGGCTGGGTTTTTAAGGGGATCTTTGGGGGCAAAGGGCTGGAAAATTAGAGTCATTGATTGGTTGGGGTAAGAGGGATGAAATCATCAGGATGTGGAAGCTACAGTCTTTGGTAAGTCAGCTCCTGTGGAGTCCTTCAGATCAGTGGGCATCAGTAGTTTCACTGGTATGCAGGACTTGAAAGGATATCTCAAGGATATCTTTTCACAATGGTTAAGTAAGGAAAACTTTCCAAGGCAGATTTAAAAAAAAAGGAAAACTTAACCTTTCACAATGGTTAATATGTTATCTGTAGAGCAGTTAAGGGGAACTGTATCTTGCAACTGGGTTTTTTGTGATTCTGGAGCAACAGGCAAACAGCTAGCTATGAGGAAGGGATCAGAGAGTAAACTGACCTAACGATGAATGCTGAGTGTGCTGTAAGTGTGGCTGACTTTAGTTTCTCCCCGTCCCTTCTTCTCTGATTAATTTTATAAAGTTTATAGGCATGGTTTCTGCCTTCCCTGACCATGATGGCTAAAGTAGCTTGCCATTGTCCTTAACAATTCACCCTGTAGCTTGCCATCACTTCCATTATACCACCCTGTCTTCTTGCCTCCATGAAGCATCAGAACATGACATTATTCTCTGTATGAGTTGTATTTTTGCCTCTCTTCCCCCATGAGGGTACGGCTCACTTGAGTGGGGATTGGATTCTACCAGCACTCGGCTATAATTTGATGGTGTGGATGGAAGAGTCAGAGTAAGCAAGTGGCATTGAACAACCTGGGTTCAAATCCTGTTCCCTCTACACAGGGAAGGGATTTGTCCCACTGAGTCTTGTGTGTTTTGTTGTTGTTCGTTTTGAGACAGGGTCTCGCTGTCACCCAGGTTGGAGTATGACGTCAGGATCACGGCTGGCTGCTGCAGCCTTGAACTACCAGGCTCAAGTGATCCTCCTACCTCAGCCTCCTGAGTGGCTGGGACAAGTGTGCGCCACCATGCGTGGCTAATTTTTCATTTTGCTTTGTGGAGATGTTTTGCCATGTTGTCCAGGCTGGTGGTCTTTTCATCTATCAGTTGAAAACAGAGTCCTTCTGGGGTTGCTTGAGACACCCAGAGTCCCTGGTGACTCAGAGGCTTTCAATGAATGTCCTGGGCTATGGGAGCAGACAACTCCCAGTTTGAGTCTTGATTCTGCCATGCACTTGCTGGCTGACCTCATAGGAACTGGTCCTCTCTAATCCCGTTTCCTCACCTGTAAAATGGGGATACGGGCCTGGTTTAAGATGACGATATCCCTCCTCCATTGGGTGCACAGTCCACATCAGGCACAGAGTGCAGCATGCTCTCCACCTTCCAGCTCACAGAATCCTCACTACAGCTGAAGGGCCACATGAAAGTTTCATCATCCCCATACAGACAGCAAAAGTGACACACCCTGAAAGTCAATGGCACAGCAGCCACCCAGCCCAGCCCCAAGCATGGAACCCTGTTGCCTGGTCATGCATGGGTATGTGGAATTTTCTTTTATTTCCACAACTCCATTGATTTCTCCTTTCTCAATAGGTCCAACGATGAAACTTAAGAGACATTTTATAGCCCAGAAATACAAAAAACAAATTGATGGAATGTACTACTGACTGCTTTGACAGAGCTGCTCTCAGCTGTCCTGATGGTGAGATTCAGTTGCTTGGCTTTGTTGGGCAATGCATTTTAAGCTTTGCTGGGCGGTGCATTCAGACCCCAAGAGAGGGTAGGCTCCTCTGAGCCCTCTGAGTCCAAGAGAGGGCAGATCTGTGATTGGAATTGCAAGACACACACAACATACACACACACACACACACACACACACACACTCTCATACACACACACGAGTTGCAGTGGGTTCTGAGTAGCAGGGTTCAACTCATGCTGTCTCTACTCTACCAGGGTCATGGCAGGATACGTAAACTCCTTCAGTTGGCCACCAATGTTGTCAGCTGTGCTTCCTGCCTTTTCTAGAAAGTAGGGGGCAATAAATCACAAATGTCTCATTAGGTCTTATTTGGAGAAAGCCTTTTGTCAGAAACTTTAGTGGAAAAAGTTCTACTTGCCAGGAATCCAGGGAATGAGGCGTGCTGGCCCATTACACAGATAATAAGGGATGGAGACTCGAACTTCCACTACCCACCATTTCTCCTCTCCTTTCCCCAAGACATGTACAGAGGGAGCCTCCATGACAACACGAATCACTTATTGAGTTGTTGTTTTTCTCTTTAATATAGCTAGATGCACAGTGCAGACAGAAAGTAGAATGCAACTTCAATTGTCCTTACAGACTGCCTGTAACCTTTACATGGGCAAAGTGTTTTAATGCCACAAGCCAACCCACGTCTTAGTTTGCAGGGGCTACATAACGAAGTACCACAGACTGGAGGGTTGTGGTTTTATGTTGTTTAAATTTATGTTTAAACAACATAAATTTCTTGTCTCACAGATCTGGAGGTGAAAAGTGTGAGATCAAGAGGCTGGCTGGCTTAGTTCCCTCTAAGCGCTGTGAGGGGAGGATCCATTCCAGACACCGCTCCTTGGCTTGCTGATGGCTGTCTTCTCTCTGTGTCTTCACACCATCTTCCCTCTGGGTGTCTCTGTGTTCAAATTTCCCCTTTTGATGAGGACAGATTAGTAAGATTAGGGCCCACCTAATGGCCTCATGTTAACTTCTATAATGATCCTGTTTCCAAATAAGTTACATCCAGAGGTACTAAAGGGTAAGACTTCAACATACGAAATGTGGAGGGATACAACTCAGCCTGTAACTCACCATCTCCATTGTCCTTTGTTTACTGTTGACTGGTTTAAACCCTTCCACACCTTCATCTGTTGATGTCTTGTGGGTGGACCCAGCGGTTCAACGTACCACATTCATAATTCCTTGTCTTCTACAAAGATTTCCAATTTCACTTTACAGTTGAATGAAAAACTACTGGACATTGATGTGGGGGTGAGAGATAGACCCTTTTACACACACACACACAAAAATAGAATGTAAAATATCTCATCAGTATTTTAAAATCTTGATTACATGTTGAGATGATATTTTGGAATATTGGGTTATAGAAAATATATTATTCAAAGTGATTTTACCAGTTTTAATTTTTTATTTACTTTTTAGAGATAGAGTCTTGCTCTGTTGCTCAGGCTGGAGTGCAGTGGTACATTCATACATAACGTTTTAAATATTTTTGTAGAATGAGGTCTTTCTGTGTTGCCCAGGTTGGTCTCAAACTCCTAGCCTCAAGCAATCCTCCTGCTTCAGCTTCACAAAGTGCTATGATTACAGGTGTGAGCCACTGTGCCTGCCCAAGTTCCTTTTTTCAAATGTGGCTGCTATAAACTGTTAAATTGCGTAGGTAGCTCTGGTAATACTTCTTTTGGATAGTGCCACTCTAAAAAGTTCATTGTGGAGAGATTTTGGGTGAGGGCCAATTTATAAATGGATCAATTCACTCTGGAATATTTTCATCATATGGTAACTGTGGGATCTTGGAGACTGAGACATAGTACAAGAATCCCCACGTGATAACTTGTGTTTCTCCTCTTGCAGCCTTTGGCAGGAAGACCTCGTTGCAATAAGTGAAGTGCTACTCTGGATAGAAGCTCTCCCTCTTGTATTTAAGAAGCCACATTCCTTATTGGTCAGTTTCTTGATCGTTCATCTGTTGAAGAGGTGCTCCCTAGAAGAACCTGCCATACCTTTCAAAGCAATAAAATCATTGCTGATCTTTCTATGAACTTTCAAGTCATGATCCCAGGGAAGCCTGTTGGGAAGTCTACAAAAAACTGCCTGTTTTGGAAGAAAAATCTGAACTGCAGGCTCCCATTTGATTTTTTTCTCCTAAGGGGACTTGACGAGACGTTAGAAAGAAAAAGCCTTCACAAATTTTAAGAACTGGGCCCCAAAATCAACTCACCTGCCTGGAAACAACTGGGAAACTTTTCCAATAAGTCCTGATAAAAAAAAGTACTTCAGGGTCCCATGTCTTGATTTTTGATGTGACACAAAAACACTTTTGTCCTTTGTTTAGTGTGATGGGGAGGGGCCTGGACTCTGAAATCAGTTCTGGGTTCAAATTCTAAGCAGCTGTGATTTCCATTGTCAGAGGCTCAAAGATTTTAAATCTGGAAAGCAGATCCCCATCTCAGAGGGTGACCATGAAAGGACATGGAGATGAGGTACAAGGAATGCAGTGTCTGACTCTAGAATGTCCTCAGTATGAGCTAATGGTTATCGTCAATACAGTCAGTCTTGGTTAACTAAAGAGTCAAGGTATGACTCTTGACTAATTCCATCATTAGGGATGAGTTTTGCTGTTACAGTAAAATTCAGTAACACCTTAAAGAAGATAGTTTATTCCTCTCCCATCCAACAGTCCATTATAAGCAGACCAGAGCTGATATGGCATATTCATAGTATGTCCCTGAAATATTAGTAGGCAGACTGGGAGAGGGAACATCTCCCAGCCTGGAGAGAAATAGCATATCAGGAGCAACAAAACTCTCAGTGTTCCTTAAGGTTCTAGATACTCAGAGGCAGGCCAGAGCCCATTTTGAGTTTCATTTTCCTTAATATACCAGAAATTTAAAATGGCATTCTCCTTGCGAAAAAAAATTAATGCAGTGCGTAAGGCTAATGTCATATTTGATTGCTGTATTAGGCCATTCTTGCATTGCTATAAAGGAATATCTGAGATGGGACCATATATACAGAAAAGAGGTTTAATTAGCTCATGGTTCTACAGGCTTTACAGAAAGCATGGTGCTGGGGCCTGTTCAGCTTCTGGTGAAGCTTCAGGGAGCTCACAATCACAGCAGAAGGCAAAACAGGAGCAGGCACATCACATGGCGAAAGCCAGAGCAACCCAGAGAGTGCCGCTCATTCCTAAATGACCAGACCTTTCGAGAACTCAACATCGTGAAGACAGCAAATACCAAGCCACGAGGGAGACAGCACCAAGCCACGCCATGACCCAAACACCTCCACCAGGCCCCCACCTCCAGCACTGGGGATTACAATACATCATGAGATTTGGGCAGGGGCAAATATGCAAACCACATCAATGGCCCTCCTCAACTATTTGGTGGGCTTCTACTTTTTAACAAGTTAGTACAGTTGGTCCTCATTATTTGCCAATTCCGTATTTACAAATCTGGCTCCTCACTAAAATTTACTGGTAACCCCCAAATCAATATATATGGCACTTTAGAGGTCAGTCCAGGACATACACAGAGGAGTGAAAAATTTGAAAGGCCCACTGTACCTTTCCAGCTGAGGCTGAACAAGGCAATGCTCTGGCTTCTTGTTTCAGCTCTCACAGCGTCAACAGTAACCTTTCTGAGGTATATCTCATGCCACTTTTTCTGCATGTTTGTGTTTCTGTTAGTAAGCCTTTTTGACTTTTTTTTTTAAGATGGACTCTCACTCTGGACTTCAGTGGTGCAAGCTCCGCCTCCCAGGTTCAAGCGATTTTCCTACCTCAGTATCCTGAGTAGCCGGAACTACAGGTACGCACCAGCTAATTTTTGTACTTTTTGCAGAGACGGGGTTTTACCATGTTAGCCAGGATGGTCTTGATCTCTTGACCTCGTGCCCACCCAGCTCAACCTCTCAAAATGCTGGGATTATAGGTGTGAGCCACCATGCCCGGCCCCTTTTTGATTTTTTAAAAAATAAATACAGGGCCTCACTCTGTCACCCAGGCTGGAGTACACTGATGTGATCCCAGTTCACTGTAACTTCAAATTTCTGGGCTCAAGGGATCTTCCTGTCTTGCCCTCCCAAAGCACTGAAGTTACAGGTATGAGCCACTGAATTTAGCCAAACCTTTATAGTTTTATCCATAACTATACTGTAAAATTTTTGGTCAACATAATTCTATTTTATAGTTTGTTTCTGCTGTCCATGTTATCTCCCCACTTTTAGGTTTTCTAGGTAGTTAATGTTGGTATATGGAAATGCTGTTGATTTTTGTATGTTAATAGTCTATCTAGACACCTCACTGCTAACCTAGTTCTCAAAATGTGTAACCTTTTTACAGAGATGCACATATATTTTGCAAGTATTTTTTCACTTCCTTTTCAATATTGATTCCTCATCAAGGAAATACAAGTGGTTGATCATATTGTCAAGTGGGGGATTCTCAAATACAGGAGAGGAATGTATGTATTTTCTACAGTGATTCTCACCTTGGTCTCACTGTTCTCTTAAAGTTCTCTCAATGTTCTTTGAGAAATGCTAAGAATCTACTGATGTCAGGAAGGATTTTAAAATTTAACTGTGGTAAAATATACATAACATAAAATGTGTCATTTTAACCCTTTTTAAGTACACAGTTCAGTGGCATTAAACACATTCACAATATAGTACAATCATAAACACCATGTATCTCTAGAAGTTTCATCTTTTCAAACTGAAACTTTCCATCTATCAAACAATTCCCTATTCCCCCTTTCCCTGAAAGCTATCATTCTACTTTCTGTCTCTTGAATTTTACTACTTTAAGTACCTTAAAAGTGGAATTGTGGCCGGGCGCGGTGGCTCAAGCCTGTAATCCCAGCACTTTGGGAGGCCGAGGCGGGTGGATCACGAGGTCGAGAGATCGAGACCAACCTGGTCAACATGGTGAAACCCCGTCTCTACTAAAAAAAATACAAAAAATTAGCTGGGCATGGTGGCACGTGCCTGTAATCCCAGCTACTCAGGAGGCTGAGGCAGGAGAATTGCCTGAACCCAGGAGGCGGAGGTTGCGGTGAGCCGAGATCGCGCCATTGCACTCCAGCCTGGGTAACAAGAGCGAAACTCCGTCTCAAAAAAAAAAAAAAAAAAAAAAAAGTGGAATTGTAAGAATATTTGTCATTTAGTGGCTTATTTAACTGAGGATAATGTCTTCATGGTTCATCCTCTTTAAAAATGTTTTCAGGTTTTTAATAATTTTTTTTTTTAATAGAGATAGGGTCTCCCCCATGTTGCCCAGGCTGGCCTTGAACTCCTGGCCTCAACAGATCCTCTCATCTCAGCCCCTTAAAGTGTTGGGATTACAGGTGTGAGCCGCCACGCCTGGCCTCATCCATGTTTAGCATGTATTAGCATTTCTTTTTTCAGGCTGAGTAATATTTCATGATGTATGTACACATGTGTGTGTATACACATATGTATGTGGATAAATTTATCCGCTTATCCATCAGTAGACACTTGGGTTGCTACCACCTTCTGGCTATTATCATATTGCTGTGTATACGGGCCCAGGACATGGTTCAGAGTCCATGGCAGAAAGGCACTCAACATCCAGAAAAGAAAACCAGAGGTTGGGACTCCTTGGCTCCTGGGTGAGCTTAGTGGGGTTCCCAGAGAAGCCAGTTTTGAGAGTGGGGGAGCTAGCGATTCAGGGCTCGCCGAGGGCAGCTCAGCCAGTGTTGGGACCTTTAGGGTTCGATCTGTCCCTTCAGAGGTGGCCTTGATGGGATGGGAGCATGGAGGTCACCGTCATAAGGTGCCCGGCTGGGTGTAGAGAGGGCGGTGGAGGGGGTGCAGGTGGTCAGCAGTTGTCAGAAGTGTCTGGTCGCTGGGGAGAAGAAGGCGCCCGGCAAGGACGGTGGGCCTGCAGCTGACCTGCCTGCTTGCTGGTGCGCGTACTGCTGAACTCCTCTCTCTGGGTCAGCGCGTCTGACTGTCCACCTGTCCCCGCATCCCCTTCTGTGCCTCGCTGGTCATCTCTTTCTCCTTTGGCAATCCACTTCATACCTCACGCCTCCTATGTCTGCCATCTCTCAGTGCCACGCCCCTGCCTGTGCCCCCATCTCTCCCTGGTTTTGCCGCTGACACTCCACCTGCCCGCTTCTCTCTGGGTCCACCTGGGGGTCTCGGCCGCCGCTGACCCGCCTGTCTGCGGGCGGAGCTACTTGGACCACGGAGCGCGACGGGGAGGCGCGACTGCGGCTCAGCAAGGACTAACAGCAACGAGACACCCCCTCGCCGTGCACGACACGGTCTCACGAACACAGCCATTACGTACGCCAAATACATCGCGCCCGGCTCCAACTACAGAGACAGTTGCCGCCTGCTCACCTGCATCGAGTACTGCAAGGAGTATCCGGGCGCCGCCGAAGCTTTCCTCGAAAGTGCCGCCAGAAGGCCCGCGCCTGCGCGCCTCTCCCGCTCCTACTGCGCCTGCGCGCCTCCTCTGCACCCGCCCTCCTGCGCTTGCGCGTCACTTATTTCGCCGCCCGCGCCAGCGCATAGCTCCAGGGCCTTGTTTTCCCCATCACCTCCTGCGCCTGTGCGCCTTTTCTGCCCTCGGCTACGGCCCACCCGCTTCTGCGCCTGCGCCCCGTTCCAGGGCCTCCCCCCCACCCTCGCCTCGCCTCTTGCGCCTGCGCGCCACTCTGCCTCCCGACCACACGCGCCTGCGTAGTGTTACTCTGTCGTTCACTACCACTGTCTGACCCGCCTGTTTGTTTGAATGGATTCCCTGAGGCTGCCTGAGAGCCAGAGATCAAAAGCTGCAACCTTAGGGAGCCTTGTTCGAATCCCAGCGCAGCCATCAGCCATGTTTTCTTGCAAGACATACTTTGTCTCTTTGTGTCTCTGTCTTCCTACATAAAGAGGCTGGTCGCGGTGGCTCAAGCCTGTAATCCCAGCACTTTGGGAGGCCGAGGTGGGCGGATCACTTGATGCCAGGAGTTCGAGACCAGCCTGGCCAACGTGGTGAAACCCTGTCTCTACTAAAAATACAAAAAATTAGCTGGGCACGGTGGCACGTGTCTGTAATCCCAGCTACTCAGGAGGCTGAGGCAGGAGAACTGCCTGAACCCAGGAGGCGGAGGTTGGGGTGAGCCGAGATCGCGCCATTGCACTCCAGCCTGGGTAACAAGAGCGAAACTCCGCCTCAAAAAAAAATTATTAAATAAATAAAATAAAATAAATACAAAACTTAGCCAGGTATGGTGGCACACCTGTAATCCCAGCTACTCGGGAGGTG